TTTTAATTTTCATTTTTTATGTTTAAATTCATTCATAAAAACATTCACAACATCCAAATTCAATTAGTATTGACAAACAGCCGTCCCTATCGTCCTAATTAGCTGTACCTATCATTTCTGACATACCGACTTATTAATCCTACCAAATAATAATTTCTAATAATCTAAAAACCAATCTATATTTTATTAATTCTGGACAATTTGTATATGCTTTAAAACCTATCTCAAATAAAATGTATATAATATATAAAAGAAAATATATGTAAAACAGATTTATACTAATAATAAAATGTATAAGTAAGGAAAGGATAAAAGGGATTCATTAAAAACTGAAACCTATATTCTTAAAATACGAATTTCTTGTCGTAATTTCAGCATACTTTCAAATACACTAATAAACTTGCTATAGCACTGAACATCTTTTACTATACATGTATAAGGATTCCTTAAACTACTATCATTAAAAACCTGTATATCTCTAAAATTATTATATAATGGACACTCGAATAGAAAATGATTCTTTGAATCAATTTCACCACACTCACAGTTTGAGGAATCGACTAACCGAAAAGCATATAGTCTTTCCCTAAAATCTCCATGACCAGACAAGATCTGACAAGAATAATAATTTGGGGTTACCCAATGTGCTGCCAACCTATCATAAACAGTAGGAAAATACAGTAGAGCATCGATTATCCGACTCAATTGGGGACTGGGGTTGGTCGGATAATTGAAAAGTCGGATAACCGAAAAGTATGAAAAAATCCATTATTAGTGTAGTATATTATTATATCCCATGTAATTAGTATATTAGTATATCGCTATTAACCTACTTTGCGTTGAATTTTCCTCTATGTTAAGCCTATCAAATTTGTTTTAAAAATAATAATTGTCGCTATTGTATCGTTAAAAATTAGAAAATTAAGCCTCGTTTAAATATGGCTCCCTTTCATGGTCAAACCAGTGTTGCCAGCTAAAACACGTAAAAATAATATTAAAGTAGCCAAGACATAGCCAAATATTGTAGCGCCACTTCACTAGCGGACATTTGAATTTGCCGACTAGAATGCGGTCGGTTAACCGAGGTGGCGGTTAATTGGGGGTCGGATAATTGATGCTCTACTGCAGTGGTTCCCAACCTTTTTTCATTAGCGTACCCCGTGACATGTCATATCTCTAGATTGTACCCCTCATTTAAGAAATTTAGTGAGTAATCGTATTGTTAATTTTACATATTGTAACCTTAAATTAAAGAAAAAAAACTAAAAGAAAAAATGTATAATAAAGTTGTGATTGTTGCTAGGAACATTTTTTATCTAATAATTTTTTAATACTATTAGTTTGTGATACATAATATATTATTTTTTCTGCCATAATAACTAACTTTTTTCTGTACCCCTAAACAACCTATCGCGTACCCCTAGGGGTACGCGTACCACAGGTTGGGAATCGCTGCTCTACTGTATCTAGCTGTTATACGACCATGCGATTTTTCACTCCATCGATTATTCCATTTGTTAATCATTAATTTCTTAATATGTTTTATTATTATATGAGTAGCGCATGCTGACACACCTGGCTGAAATATAAAATCATCATAAGTGAAAGATATTCCCACCCAAATTAATTATTTATAATATTTCAGATTAATTATTAAATCAATCGGCAATTCTCCAGAAATCAATTGCAAAGCTAGGTTGATATAGTGCGGTAAGCCCTGGTGACCATCAACAACACTTTCCGCTGAGAAGATTCGAACTTCCCACGGTGAAGGGGTTGTAGTTTGTCACCCCACACACCAGCAGCATATACTATTATAGGTATATACTGTGATGTATACAGGACTCTGAGTGCAGGAAGCTGCAGCCCCCACCCCCGGCCTGCCAAACTCTGCAGACTACAAAACTGTGTAGTTGCCTTATCCTTTATATAGTTCAAATGAGGTGTAAGGTCAAAGCCCGCACCCAGCTGCATTCCCAGATAATGGACCAAACTGACTACTCTCAATGAACTTCCTTTCATTTGTATGCTAGGGGGATGATCCAGACTCAACTTACCCTTCAACATCACCATCTTTGTCTTGCTAGGTGAAAACTGTAACTTAAGTTGTTCTAAATGGTTCACCACGACCTCAGTCACCAAATTTCCTATACTTTCCAACTCCTGTCTACTATTTCCCTCAACAATCACAGCGAGATCATCAGCATATGCTATGAACCTCATATCCATTTCCCTTAAACATTGAAGTACTGTATTAAAAACATAGTTCCAAAGCTGTGGGCCCAAAACTGAGCCCTGTGGACATCCCCTTTCTACACATTTATCAATTTGCTTAGTTTCCTCAATATAAAACACCCTTCTATTCTGAAAATAATCCTGCATTACTCTATAAAGATCAATAGGACATTCCCACTGTCTCAAGGCACAACACACTGGGCCACCATACATGATCGAAAGCCCCCATTACATCAAAGAAAATACCAAGAACATATGAACATAAGAATTCTAAGGCTAAAGCCTTAGAATTCAAAGTCCAACTTTTTAATAAATATATTGCATCGGTAGTCGAAACCCCTTGTCGAAATCCAAACTGCCATTTATCTATTTTTGTACTAAACAGTGTAGTCAAACGTAATTTAATTAATCGTTCATATAATTTTCCTATAATTGATAATAAGCATATTGGTCTATAAGACCTAATATCAGAACGATCTCTATTCCTATCCTTTAAAAATACAACCACACGAGATTTCTTCCATCTATTAGGAAATACCCGAAATATAAGACATAAATTATATAATTGTAACAAGTGATTACCTATTACTGGAATAGCATGATTTAATATGTTATATGTAATTCTATCCAATCACAGTGCTTTCCTTTTGAATCTCTTAAAAATTCCTGATGTGTAAATAACTCAACTGTACAATTATTACTATATAATTCATTAGCCATCCTAATATTAATTTGATCATCTGTATCCCTTATATTTTGATCAACTATAAATAAGGAATCTAATAAATACTTTGCAGATTCATCCCAATCAATTAACTATTCCTCCGAACCATCCTTCCGAATAACATTTAACATATCTTTAATTTTATCCCATACTGATTTATACGGTAGACCCCAAACATTTCTTGCTGACATCGAGGTTACAAAATTTTTCCAACTAGCAACCTTAGTTGTCAATATTAATTTTTTATACTGTTTGTTAAGAATTCTATATTCCTGCAATTTAATATCCTTTAACACTAAATCTATCTCACGCTGATATAATCTCCGAGCCCTACAAACTCTAACCTTCATTTTATCTAATTCATCATTCCATCATCTAGGAATAAGAACTTTATCTCTCTGCAATGGAAAAGTCTTCTTGATAGCTTGATCTAAACACTTATGTATATGAGAACAATAATTAAAAACATCTATCTGATCATCAACCCAAGATAACATACATGTGCCTATTAACTTTGCTAAAATTCCCCTGAACTTATTCCAATTAATTTTCTTATTATCTCCATATATCAAATATTTCTTCTCACTATACCTCGATGATAGCCCAACATTACAAAAGATCAAAGCATGATCATATGTTGTATACTCATATGACACCAAGCAATCCGATATTTTCCTATCAATATTATATGATGTTAACATTACATCAACAAAAGACTCCCCTAACACAGAGGAATAAGTAGGGATCTTATTTTCCCTATTTACTATTACACAATTCCATTTAGAAATAATATCCATTAACCTTTCACCTCTATTATCTATAATTGAGGAACCCCAGAGTACCGACTTAGCATTTGAATCTAATGCAATAATATAATTTTTCCCATGAAGTAATAATAAAATATTATCCAATTTCTTTAAGGAAACCTCAATATCACCAGCTGGAGGAAAATATAAACTAGCCAAATAAAATACCTCATCTCCTCTTAAAACTTGTGCAACCGCACAGGTAGTAGAAGATAAATTATGTATATCTAAAACTGTCCATGACTTTTTATTACAATTGCAGCCCAGTATTGACAAACAAACCACCTGATTATTTATCAGGCTATATTAAGGCTAAATGAATAATTATACATAAAGCATTTTGGCTAGAATTGGCAGTTATGCTGCCATATTATATTAAATTTAATAATTAGAAATAAATTCATTTTTAATTTCAAATTTAGAATATTCTGAAAGAAAAGAATTGGCTTAGAGCAGAACTGAAACCTGTAACTGCTGCTTACCATGCAGTTGCACTATCCAGATCTCCATCCAATCTTTGCTTCCAGAGCTGTTAATTAATTTAGATATAACTGTGGTGGTCTTTCACTTATCTAATAATTATATATAAATTAGGCCTAATTAGCATTCAATATAAAAGTTTATTTTTAATTATTTCTTATGATGATAATATGATTATTATGGTGTTATATAAATACAATATTCATTGACAAAATGCAATCTGCTAAACTACACTGAAGTGAAAACAGTTAAAGGAAACTAATGATTTTATCATATTTCCATTATTTGCATGCTGTTAGTGTACATAGCTGTGTTTAAAGTTCTGTTTGATGTATATTTAGTACTTCTATTTTCTGTAGTATGATGATGATGTAAATGTTTCTAGACTATATCTGTGTGACATATGCAAAAGAAATAACTACAGGCACAATAAATACTTTAACCATTTTTTACAGAATTTATTTATTACTTGTGTTTTATGTACTTCAGAAAATATCTACTCTGGTAAATTCAATATTATTATTAATTATATTTAATAAAAAGCAATAAGTCTTAAGTTTAGTAACAAGATTGCAATAAAACACAATGGAAATCATGAATTGTTATGTGCTGAGTTAATTCTTTTGAAATTTAAGAAAATTATTTTTTACTGCAATGTCATATTTTGATAATTTGTTTATTATTTATTTTTAAATAATAATAATTTCATTAGACGAATTGTTATATAATGTATAATAACTTATAATTTAATTTAGAAAATGATGGAAGAAGAAAATCTGTATATACCAGAGACTCCGACAAAGAGAGGACATGTTTATTTTGTTGCAGCAGCAGCATGTTGTGGTTCTGTTTCTATGGGAACGGCTTTAGCTTATTCATCACCTGCCATTCCTCAGTTAGAGAAAGCAACTTTCGAAAATGAATTCCACATCAGTAGTAGTATTGCTTCTTGGTTTGGAAGCACTGTGGCAATTGGTGCTATGTTTTCGGCACTAATAACAGGTGAGATCTCTTCACATCCAAATCTTTTGTTTTTATGTAAATAATAATTTAGATTTTTATCATTTGAAGCTGCAATGTCATAATGCTGTAAATGCAAAAAATGAAACTTTTCAGGATAGGTAAATACACTTTTTCTAATGAACGAATTCATTTCAATTTTTACAATAAAATGGTAAAAAACTCATTAGGTTACAAATTCTCTGGAATATCAAAATGATGTAAATATAAGCCATAACGTTTTAAGTGCCAAAAGTCACATGACTTGCATTCTGGTACTTTAAACGTTATACCTTTACATAAATTCATCTTCAAATTACAGCCACTTACAATGGTAATATCACATAATATTGTTTTGCAGCAAAAAACATTAAATTTAGAATTCAATTCTTCAATAAAACATATTTAGAGAAAAATGGCATTTACAACGTTATGGCATTTCACACTTCATTTATATTACAATTATATATATAATAATAAATATATTATTGTTCTAGAAAGAGACTCAAATTCTGAAAAAAATGATAAGAGATACTTTAATATTGATCTCTTGTGTTTATAATATTTTCTTTTTTGTTATTTTTTTTATATTAGGGAGAGCTGAAAAATGATTGTATAAAATCAGCCAAATCCACAAGGCAGTGATGAATTAGAAATAAAATTTTTACCAGAAGCAACCTAAACAGATATATCACTGTATCATCATAAAGCATAATGTGTCAACTAGTTGTGAATGCATCCCATTGGTCATTTATAAAAGATTTAAATTCAAATTTAATTAAAATTCTTCTGCACATTCCATTCTGGAATGTTGCAGCCCCCAAAGCATTCCATTTCAAACCTTTAATCTGAATCATATGTTAGAAGTTTCTCCCAATTCTGATTCTTTTGAATAGTTTCTAAAGTTTATTTTTGTTTAGAAAAATTAACGTTTTGCTTTATGATCACAGTACATTCATTAATAAATAAACATCAAGCTTAAGAATGGAAAATCGTTGGGAAATCCAGAATCAATCATTTGAAAAAAAAACTTGAAACATGCTTTTATTGTGTGCTACAAAACAAATTTGTAATCTTACTTCAGATAAAGTTAATATTGCAACACTATCCTCAAAGAAATTACAACTAATTCCCTTTTATTCAAAGAACTATCTCATGTCACTTAGGGTTGCCATCTTTGGAAATTGCTTTGTTGGCCGACATGATCAGGGGAAGGTAAATAGGGAAATGTGCTTCTTTTTTAATGCTTCTTACAATCAGTATGCCTTGTAAATTCTTTAATTACATTGCATTTAACATTAAGTGAGGTTCAGCAAATGATGCAATGTTTGTCACACCTGAATGACAAAATTGACATTTAAAAATAATTTCTCACTGTTAAAACAAAGTTTTTACTTAATGATTATTCAATGTTTTTCTTCTGATGATTTTTTTATTTTCAAATATAATTCTGAAGATAAATCTTTTCTTTAAAGATTATCAAATTTTCTATTTTTAGAAATTATTATTATTGAGAAGAGTGTTTGGAAAGAAATTTTTACTATGATTATAGTGTTTCACTTTGACCTTCCACTAATGTATTGTTTAAGATTAATAACCATGCAGTTTTTGAACTTTTGCAACACATTAATGTTTATGCACTAGGTTGTTTCAAGTAAGATTATCCTTTTTAATTATAAATTTCTTAAACATCATTTATTTCAATTGCTATGTATTTATCATAGTGAAATTATATTTTATTGAATATCAGTAGAGGTTAAGACTATTTTTATATTATTTTTAAATATTCCATCATCATTCATAAAAGAATTATAGTCTTTTAATCTTTATTAATGTTTTACTTTTCAAATTGATATTTTATTATTTAATAATAGTTGGACAAATAATCAATTAAAAAATAAAATATTTGAAGATTTATTGAAAATAATAATTGAAAATTTTTGAAATATTTTGAATATAATATTGGAAAAAATTAATAAATTTGAATACTATAAATACCTCTAATATTGTATCACATGTACAGTACAGATAACACCTCTGGTTTAATATGTAACAAGAAAAGAAGCAGACTAGGTCTGAAAGTGTTTTTTATATGATTCTTTTCATAAATAAAAGTTTGCAGTAGTTGAGAATGAACATAATTATTGATTCATCTATTGTAAAGATAATGGTTCTTAAAAAGAAGGCATAGTAAAAGTTTGAAATTTCATTTCTTGGAATTTAGTAAATTGATTCTCTTTTTACTTTNAAAAGTTTGCAGTAGTTGAGAATGAACATAATTATTGATTCATCTATTGTAAAGATAATGGTACTTAAAAAGAAGGCATAGTAAAAGTTTGAAATTTCATTTCTTGGAATTTAGTAAATTGATTCTCTTTTTACTTTTTTTTTTTTTGTTTTACTTGTTTAACTCTTATTTATTTCTATATACCGTATCTACTCGCATACAAGATGAGGTTTTTATTCATTTTTCACTGCTTCAAAAACCTAGGTTGTCCTATATGCGCAAGTGAAGGATTCTTTGTTTTTGCAATAATTTTTGTAAACTGTGTGTTGACATTTTTTACCGGATGCTCACCTTCTGGTGTTTAAAAACAAAAGTATTATATCTGGGTCATTTGAATCGTTCTTGTGTATTGTCAGGAGTAAAGATTAATAGCAGTAGGAAAAGCAAAGCTTTTGAATTGAATTCCAAAATTACTTGGGAGCCCAATATAAGTTTTAATTCATTCCCATGTGAAAACAGATGTTTATTTGGAAATCAGAATTCAGAGAAACTCGTAAGTTTAATCGACAAAGAGTGAATTCGACTGTTAAGAATTGACAAAAAGGAAACCTGATAGTCCAGCTTTACATGAACAAATTATATTGTTGATTTTACAAGATTTTTCCTTGAAGTTTAAAATGCTAGTAATTTTTGCAGGACAATGTGTGCATTTGATATTTTATTTGTGATTAAATGAAATGAAAATTAGATTTATTAATACAATTCTAATTTTATTTCATTTTGATCTTTAAAGTCACATCTCATCCTATATGCGAGTAAATATGGTATTAATAAACTAATAAAATATTTGAGGAGGGTGAGTGCTAGTTCACCCTACAATCTCCTTGTCCACCCATCTGCACAACCTGAAATAATTTATTCAAGTCTATCTATACTGATTATTATTGGAGTTTCTTTAAATATGAATTGATTGTTCATAATTACACATTCTTGTCAAAGTTTTTTCTGCTTATATATCTTACTGAAAATTTATTGCTAAATTTTATAAATTGGTTTGGATAAATTTGCAGAAAACACTCACTTAACTAAATCAACGTTCTGCCCCATTCCACCCTCCTGGAACAAACTCCTAATACTGGTAACTGTATTCAAATGTTCAAGACTTGGTTCACATTCAAATTTGAGAAAAGTAATGTTTGTCCATCTCTATTTAATAGATACATTTGATTGCGTGAAAATTATTTTTCATCAATGATTACTGAGTGAGCAGACATTTGTGAGAAATAGACACAACATTTGAAACTCCTCACTGATGTTGCTATCTCTGAAGTCTTAAAAATTGAAAATTTATTCTTCTTTACGTGAAACTGTATCATTTTCTTATTTGATTATTTCTGACAATGAAGTGTAATATAAATGGCACAAGCCTTGTGTCATTTATATTACACTTTATTGTGAGAAATTAGTAAATAAATGTTCATATTTGATTGTCTCTTGATACATGTGACAAGGCAGTAAGAGGCAAGTATTGCCTCTTACTACCTTGTTGCCAAGTCCAGTTGTAACTAAACTTTTTGTTTCATTACCCAATATGTAAAAATACATGTAAATCAAATTATAGCAACCACAGTAAACTTACAAGAGACAGTGCCTAAATAAAAACTATTTAACAGATCAGCTGTGGAATTTTTAATGTGGTTCAAAGAAGCTTTAAAGAAATTTTGGATGTTTGAACGCAGTCAAAATATTTTTTATTGAATTGATATGTATTTAACATTTTTAAAAATTAATTTCTATCGTAATGAGACAAGTATTAAATACAGGTGAACCTCGTACAACATGGTTTGAGAATTGGGGACTTCCTCGTACAAAATGTCAAATTTTTAAGTGCAAACACCATTTGATGATTTTTATTCAAGCAATCATAAGGGGATTTTAGAATATCGAAATTTTCAATGTTGTTTTGTCAGTTTTCTTTAATGATAACTGATTGTACAATTTTTCTTCTTTTTTGTTCTAGCTTTCTATAAACCACTTGTCATTGGTGATAGTGCTGTAAAGAACCTGAAGGATTGTTGCTATGTTTTGTTCTTATAGATTAATCTTTTTATGTAGTAACTTTTAATTTAAACTTTTAAAGGCAAACACAAGTAAATGAAAATAATATATTTTGTTTTTGAAAGATAGAGAAAAATCAAGACACTGTGGATATTTCAAATTAAGGACAATAATATTTTGCCTAAAAGAAAACATCTTCATTTAATGATGTTTAGCAATGAAGAAAATAATATTAATGCACACTTTTGATTATGATTATTAAAGCAATCAATAATTAAGTAACAAAGATATTCTTCTTAATTACAAAAAAGAATAGTAAACTTTTGCTAACTTTTGGAACTTAACTCTGTTTTGTACTAGTACTTTTATTAGCATGGTTTTGCATAACACCATAACTTTTTCAGAACCTAACTACCATGTTATATGAGGTTATCTTCAATCTAAAATACTTATCAAAGTGTACAATAGTCAAATTAGTAACATCTTTCTATTTTATTTTTTAGGTTCATTGGCCGAACGACTCGGGAGAAAGACTGTGTTAATATTTTCCTCGGCTCCTTTTGTGCTTGGATGGCTGTGTATAATATTTGCGAACTCTGTACCTCTGCTGTTACTGGGTCGAATACTGAATGGTTTTGCCATCGGCATAATTTCCTTAACCGTTCCTGTTTACATAGCAGAAACATCACCACCAACCTTAAGAGGGTTATTGGGATCGTGTATACAATTATCTGTTACTATAGGAATGCTCTTTGTGTATTTCGTTGGCATATATACTAATTGGAAATTACTGGCTGCCATCAGTGCAATTTTTCCAGCATTGTTCTTAATATTAATGTGTATTGTTCCTGAAACTCCTCGGTGGTTACTGGCAAATCATCGATATTCAGAAGCGATTCAAGCTACGAAATTTATTAATGGTTCTAGAGTAAATGCCGAGCAAGAATGTCACATTATAGAAATGAAAATAAGAGAACAGTCAAGCGAAAAAGCTTCTATCAGAGAACTATTTCAGCCCCACATTTTAAAATTATTTTTATTCAGTTTAGGATTAATGTTTTTTCAGCAGTTTAATGGAATAAACAGCTTTTTATTTTATACACAAGGTATTTTCAAGACTGCTCAAGTGAAAATTGATCCAGATTACTGCACGACCATCGTGGGTGTTATGTTAGTTATTTCAACTTTCATTGCTAGTATCTTAATGGATTATGCAGGAAGAAAAATCTTGCTCTATATCTCAGGAAGCGTAATGTGCATTAGTGTTGTTTCTCTTGCAACCTATTATTATATAATGCACAAAAAAGGATACTTTGAATACAGCTGGATAACATTAGTGTGTCTCTGTGTGTTTGTATGTGCATTTTCGTTAGGCTTTGGCCCTGTGCCATGGCTGATGATGGGCGAACTTTTACCACTAAGAGTGAAAGGAATAGCTTCTAGTATCTCAACGATGTTTAATTGGACTTGCGTATTTATTGTCACTGGAGAATATCATACAATGTTAGACTCTATGCATGATTATGGGACATACTGGTTTTATGGAGCTTTCTGTTTTCTTAGTTGTATATTTGTGATATTTCTTCCTGAAACTAAAGGAAAAACTTTGGAGAGTATTGAAAGAACATTTCTGCTGAGTGAAGACTTATCAGAAGGAATTAATTGATGTAAAAATGATTATTTATATAAAAATTCAATCAAGTTAATTAAAACTTTTATTTAAATTATGAATTGATCTTCAAGTACACAAGCAAAGAATATAAAAGTAAATATGAAGTTTTGATAGTCAAATCACCACTCTAATTTAAAAGTGTCTTTCTTTCATAGTATGTTCACTTTAAAGAAAATTTTGCTAGAAATGGTAACATTTTTCTGTTTATTAGATATTTAAAAAAATCTTGAATTTTTTAAGGTGGTCATGTATTAAATGTTTAATGCTACATTTAGCAGTATTAAAAATGTATTTTAACAAAAACTTATATTGAACTTGGGAGATAGCCAAGGCAGTAAAGACACTAATTTGCCTCTTCGAGGGACACGCATTGAGCTGACTGGGTTCAGTTTTCAGATAGGTTGGAGGCTGACAGATCCTTGCTGACCTAACAGCTAGCTGCTCCATTGGGGCCTGTATAAACTGTGATGAACTTAGTACTCAGAGTGGAGTTAAATCTTTGTCCTACAAGCAGAATAAAAAATATGTATCTACTATCTGATTATCTATCTAGTAATGTAGCTCATACTGTAAATTTCCTGTCTTATGAAGATTTTACTGTTTTGAAATAGAAAAAATCTTTTACTTTTGTAGTTTTTAGCAGGCAACCTCTGCCGATATAATACTTTTTGACTAATATAAGGCTGTACATTGGCATCTTTTAAAAGTCAACTGGATAATCTTCTATTATTTGATATTTTAAATCTTTATAATTATACTGTTCTCATAAAAAAAAGTTCTACTGCCATACATACTGTATAAAAGAAAACTTTTTGCAGTAACAATTGTGTATTCAGAGATTGATCCCTAAATATTTTTTACAAATAATTCTGATGGTCTAATGACAAATTCAAAATCTAAATCAAAGATTGTTAAAGACGAGTGATACTGGAGCAATCAAATGAAACGTTTACTTGTAGAGTTTTTGTCCCTTGAGTCTGTAGTAAACAGATGGAAATTCAAGCTTCACAGCATGCCAAGGCTCTTCCTTGCAAGTGAACTTTTCACCTGATTGCTCTGTAGCTTTGAACTGCTTAATGTTGGAACTGTTGTTCTGTTCAAACCACCAACCATTCCCCAAAGAGCAACAGTTTAAATCAATCATGAGATATTTGCTTTTATCATCANGCTGCCATATTATATTAAATTTAATAATTAGAAATAAATTCATTTTTAATTTCAAATTTAGAATATTCTGAAAGAAAAGAATTGGCTTAGAGCAGAACTGAAACCTGTAACTGCTGCTTACCATGCAGTTGCACTATCCAGATCTCCATCCAATCTTTGCTTCCAGAGCTGTTAATTAATTTAGATATAACTGTGGTGGTCTTTCACTTATCTAATAATTATATATAAATTAGGCCTAATTAGCATTCAATATAAAAGTTTATTTTTAATTATTTCTTATGATGATAATATGATTATTATGGTGTTATATAAATACAATATTCATTGACAAAATGCAATCTGCTAAACTACACTGAAGTGAAAACAGTTAAAGGAAACTAATGATTTTATCATATTTCCATTATTTGCATGCTGTTAGTGTACATAGCTGTGTTTAAAGTTCTGTTTGATGTATATTTAGTACTTCTATTTTCTGTAGTATGATGATGATGTAAATGTTTCTAGACTATATCTGTGTGACATATGCAAAAGAAATAACTACAGGCACAATAAATACTTTAACCATTTTTTACAGGATTTATTTATTACTTGTGTTTTATGTACTTCAGAAAATATCTACTCTGGTAAATTCAATATTATTATTAATTATATTTAATAAAAAGCAATAAGTCTTAAGTTTAGTAACAAGATTGCAATAAAACACAATGGAAATCATGAATTGTTATGTGCTGAGTTAATTCTTTTGAAATTTAAGAAAATTATTTTTTACTGCAATGTCATATTTTGATAATTTGTTTATTATTTATTTTTAAATAATAATAATTTCATTAGACGAATTGTTATATAATGTATAATAACTTATAATTTAATTTAGAAAATGATGGAAGAAGAAAATCTGTATATACCAGAGACTCCGACAAAGAGAGGACATGTTTATTTTGTTGCAGCAGCAGCATGTTGTGGTTCTGTTTCTATGGGAACGGCTTTAGCTTATTCATCACCTGCCATTCCTCAGTTAGAGAAAGCAACTTTCGAAAATGAATTCCACATCAGTAGTAGTATTGCTTCTTGGTTTGGAAGCACTGTGGCAATTGGTGCTATGTTTTCGGCACTAATAACAGGTGAGATCTCTTCACATCCAAATCTTTTGTTTTTATGTAAATAATAATTTAGATTTTTATCATTTGAAGCTGCAATGTCATAATGCTGTAAATGCAAAAAATGAAACTTTTCAGGATAGGTAAATACACTTTTTCTAATGAACGAATTCATTTCAATTTTTACAATAAAATGGTAAAAAACTCATTAGGTTACAAATTCTCTGGAATATCAAAATGATGTAAATATAAGCCATAACGTTTTAAGTGCCAAAAGTCACATGACTTGCATTCTGGTACTTTAAACGTTATACCTTTACATAAATTCATCTTCAAATTACAGCCACTTACAATGGTAATATCACATAATATTGTTTTGCAGCAAAAAACATTAAATTTAGAATTCAATTCTTCAATAAAACATATTTAGAGAAAAATGGCATTTACAACGTTATGGCATTTCACACTTCATTTATATTACAATTATATATATAATAATAAATATATTATTGTTCTAGAAAGAGACTCAAATTCTGAAAAAAATGATAAGAGATACTTTAATATTGATCTCTTGTGTTTCATAATATTTTCTTTTTTGTTATTTTTTTTATATTAGGGAGAGCTGAAAAATGATTGTATAAAATCAGCCAAATCCACAAGGCAGTGATGAATTAGAAATAAAATTTTTACCAGAAGCAACCTAAACAGATATATCACTGTATCATCATAAAGCATAATGTGTCAACTAGTTGTGAATGCATCCCATTGGTCATTTATAAAAGATTTAAATTCAAATTTAATTAAAATTCTTCTGCACATTCCATTCTGGAATGTTGCAGCCCAAAGCATTCCATTTCAAACCTTTAATCTGAATCATATGTTAGAAGTTTCTCCCAATTCTGATTCTTTTGAATAGTTTCTAAAGTTTATTTTTGTTTAGAAAAATTAACGTTTTGCTTTATGATCACAGTACATTCATTAATAAATAAACATCAAGCTTAAGAATGGAAAATCGTTGGGAAATCCAGAATCAATCATTCGAAAAAAAAACTTGAAACATGCTTTTATTGTGTGCTACAAAACAAATTTGTAATCTTACTTCAGATAAAGTTAATATTGCAACACTATCCTCAAAGAAATTACAACTAATTCCCTTTTATTCAAAGAACTATCTCATGTCACTTAGGGTTGCCATCTTTGGAAATTGCTTTGTTGGCCGACATGATCAGGGGAAGGTAAATAGGGAAATGTGCTTCTTTTTTAATGCTTCTTACAATCAGTATGCCTTGTAAATTCTTTAATTACATTGCATTTAACATTAAGTGAGGTTCAGCAAATGATGCAATGTTTGTCACACCTGAATGACAAAATTGACATTTAAAAATAATTTCTCACTGTTAAAACAAAGTTTTTACTTAATGATTATTCAATGTTTTTCTTCTGATGATTTTTTTATTTTCAAATATAATTCTGAAGATAAATCTTTTCTTTAAAGATTATCAAATTTTCTATTTTTAGAAATTATTATTATTGAGAAGAGTGTTTGGAAAGAAATTTTTACTATGATTATAGTGTTTCACTTTGACCTTCCACTAATGTATTGTTTAAGATTAATAACCATGCAGTTTTTGAACTTTTGCAACACATTAATGTTTATGCACTAGGTTGTTTCAAGTAAGATTATCCTTTTTAATTATAAATTTCTTAAACATCATTTATTTCAATTGCTATGTATTTATCATAGTGAAATTATATTTTATTGAATATCAGTAGAGGTTAAGACTATTTTTATATTATTTTTAAATATTCCATCATCATTCATAAAAGAATTATAGTCTTTTAATCTTTATTAATGTTTTACTTTTCAAATTGATATTTTATTATTTAATAATAGTTGGACAAATAATCAATTAAAAAATAAAATATTTGAAGATTTATTGAAAATAATAATTGAAAATTTTTGAAATATTTTGAATATAATATTGGAAAAAATTAATAAATTTGAATACTATAAATACCTCTAATATTGTATCACATGTACAGTACAGATAACACCTCTGGTTTAATATGTAACAAGAAAAGAAGCAGACTAGGTCTGAAAGTGTTTTTTATATGCTTCTTTTCATAAATAAAAGTTTGCAGTAGTTGAGAATGAACATAATTATTGATTCATCTATTGTAAAGATAATGGTTCTTAAAAAGAAGGCATAGTAAAAGTTTGAAATTTCATTTCTTGGAATTTAGTAAATTGATTCTCTTTTTACTTTATTTTTTTTATTTTTGTTTTACTCGTTTAACTCTTCTTTATTTCTATATACCATATCTACTCCCATACAAGATGAGGTTTTTATTCATTTTCCACTGCTTCAAAAACCTAGGTTGTCCTATATGCTCAAGCAAAAGATTCTTTTTGTTTTTGCAATAATTTTTGTAAACTGTGTGTTGACATTTTTTACCGAATGCTCACCTTCTGGTGTTTAAAAACAAAAGTATTATATCTGGGTCATTTGAATCATTCTTGTGTATTGTCAGAATAGCAGTAGGAAAAGCAAAGCTTTTGAATTGAATTCCAAAATTACTTGGGAGCCCGATATAAGTTTTAATTCATTCCCATGTGAAAACAGATGATTATTTGGAAATCAGAATTCGGAGAAACTCTTAAGTTTAATCGACAAAGAGTGAATTCGACCTGTTAAGAATTGACAAAAAGGAAACCTGATAGTCCAGCTTTACGTGAACAAATTATATTGTTGATTTTACAAGATTTTTCCTTGAAGTTTAAAATGCTAGTAATTTTTGCAGGACAATGTGTGCATTTGATATTTTATTTGTGATTAAATGAAATGAAAGTTAGATTTATTAATACAATTCTAATTTTATTTCATTTTGATCTTTAAAGTCACATCTCATCCTATATGTGATTTACTCACATATAGGATGGTATTATATAAATATGGTATTAATATGGTAATATGGTAAATATGGTATTAATAAACTAATAAAGTATTTGAGGAGGGTGAGTGCTAGTTTATCCTGCAATCTCCTTGCCCATCCATTTGCCCAACCTGAAATATTTTATTCAAGTCTACTTATACTGGTTATTATTGGAGTTTCTTTAAATATGAATTGATTGTTCATAAGTAATTACACATTCTCGTTAAACTTTTTTCTGCTTATATATCTTACTGAAAATTTATTGCTAAATTTTATAAATTGGTTTGGATAAATTTGCAGAAAACACTCACTTAACTAAATCAACGTTCTGCCCCATTCCACCCTCCTGGAACAAACTCCTAATACTGGTAACTGTATTCAAATGTTCAAGACTTGGTTCACATTCAAATTTGAGAAAAGTAATGTTTGTCCATCTCTATTTAATAGATACATTTGATTGCGTGAAAATTATTTTTCATCAATGATTACTGAGTGAGCAGACATTTGTGAGAAATAGACACAACATTTGAAACTCCTCACTGATGTTGCTATCTCTGAAGTCTTAAAAATTGAAAATTTATTCTTCTTTACGTGAAACTGTATCATTTTCTTATTTGATTATTTCTGACAATGAAGTGTAATATAAATGGCACAAGCCTTGTGTCATTTATATTACACTTTATTGTGAGAAATTAGTTAATAAATGTTCATATTTGATTGTCTCTTGATACATGTGACAAGGCAGTAAGAGGCAAGTATTGCCTCTTACTACCTTGTTGCCAAGTCCAGTTGTAACTAAACTTTTTGTTTCATTACCCAATATGTAAAAATACATGTAAATCAAATTATAGCAACTACAGTAAACTTACAAGAGACAGTGCCTAAATAAAAACTATTTGACAGATCATCTGTGGAATTTTTTATGTGGTTCAAAGAAGCTTTAAAGAAATTTTGGATGTTTGAACGCAGTCAAAATATTTTTTATTGAATTGATATGTATTTAACATTTTTAAAAATTAATTTCTATCGTAATGAGACAAGTATTAAATACAGGTGAACCTCGTACAACATGGTTTGAGAATTGGGGTGCTACAAAACAAATTTGTAATCTTACTTCAGATAAAGTTAATATTGCAACACTATCCTCAAAGAAATTACAACTAATTCCCTTTTAATCAAAGAACTATCTCATGTCACTTAGGGTTGCCATCTTTGGAAATTGCTTTGTTGGCCGACATGATCAGGGGAAGGTAAATAGGGAAATGTGCTTCTTTTTTAATGCTTCTTACAATCAGTATGCCTTGTAAATTCTTTAATTACATTGCATTTAACATTAAGTGAGGTTCAGCAAATGATGCAATGTTTGTCACACCTGAATGACAAAATTGACATTTAAAAATAATTTCTCACTGTTAAAACAAAGTTTTTACTTAATGATTATTCAATGTTTTTCTTCTGATGATTTTTTTATTTTCAAATATAATTCTGAAGATAAATCTTTTCTTTAAAGATTATCAAATTTTCTATTTTTAGAAATTATTATTATTGAGAAGAGTGTTTGGAAAGAAATTTTTACTATGATTATAGTGTTTCACTTTGACCTTCCACTAATGTATTGTTTAAGATTAATAACCATGCAGTTTTTGAACTTTTGCAACACATTAATGTTTATGCACTAGGTTGTTTCAAGTAAGATTATCCTTTTTAATTATAAATTTCTTAAACATCATTTATTTCAATTGCTATGTATTTATCATAGTGAAATTATATTTTATTGAATATCAGTAGAGGTTAAGACTATTTTTATATTATTTTTAAATATTCCATCATCATTCATAAAAGAATTATAGTCTTTTAATCTTTATTAATGTTTTACTTTTCAAATTGATATTTTATTATTTAATAATAGTTGGACAAATAATCAATTAAAAAATAAAATATTTGAAGATTTATTGAAAATAATAATTGAAAATTTTTGAAATATTTTGAATATAATATTGGAAAAAATTAATAAATTTGAATACTATAAATACCTCTAATATTGTATCACATGTACAGTACAGATAACACCTCTGGTTTAATATGTAACAAGAAAAGAAGCAGACTAGGTCTGAAAGTGTTTTTTATATGCTTCTTTTCATAAATAAAAGTTTGCAGTAGTTGAGAATGAACATAATTATTGATTCATCTATTGTAAAGATAATGGTTCTTAAAAAGAAGGCATAGTAAAAGTTTGAAATTTCATTTCTTGGAATTTAGTAAATTGATTCTCTTTTTACTTTATTTTTTTTATTTTTGTTTTACTCGTTTAACTCTTCTTTATTTCTATATACCATATCTACTCCCATACAAGATGAGGTTTTTATTCATTTTCCACTGCTTCAAAAACCTAGGTTGTCCTATATGCTCAAGCAAAAGATTCTTTTTGTTTTTGCAATAATTTTTGTAAACTGTGTGTTGACATTTTTTACCGAATGCTCACCTTCTGGTGTTTAAAAACAAAAGTATTATATCTGGGTCATTTGAATCATTCTTGTGTATTGTCAGAATAGCAGTAGGAAAAGCAAAGCTTTTGAATTGAATTCCAAAATTACTTGGGAGCCCGATATAAGTTTTAATTCATTCCCATGTGAAAACAGATGATTATTTGGAAATCAGAATTCGGAGAAACTCTTAAGTTTAATCGACAAAGAGTGAATTCGACCTGTTAAGAATTGACAAAAAGGAAACCTGATAGTCCAGCTTTACGTGAACAAATTATATTGTTGATTTTACAAGATTTTTCCTTGAAGTTTAAAATGCTAGTAATTTTTGCAGGACAATGTGTGCATTTGATATTTTATTTGTGATTAAATGAAATGAAAGTTAGATTTATTAATACAATTCTAATTTTATTTCATTTTGATCTTTAAAGTCACATCTCATCCTATATGTGATTTACTCACATATAGGATGGTATTATATAAATATGGTATTAATATGGTAATATGGTAAATATGGTATTAATAAACTAATAAAGTATTTGAGGAGGGTGAGTGCTAGTTTATCCTGCAATCTCCTTGCCCATCCATTTGCCCAACCTGAAATATTNTCGTAACGGTCATCGACAGATGGTTGAAAGTGGCCGTTGGCTTTTTGAAAGTACAGCCACTGATTGGTCAGCAGACAATCATGCCACACGGCATGATTTGCATAAAACTATGGCCCGGGACTCAGATTTGCATAACATTACGGCTGGTGATGGCTAATTGGTCGGCCGGGAATCACACCACATCACATTTGCATAGTGCTACAGTTCAGTAAGCACTAATTGGTCATCGAGTCTGACGCTATAAAAAGGTTAAGTTGAAACAAGAATGGGAAGTCCACTCCAGAACTTCCTAAGTTCATTTATGTTCGTTACTTCGATTTTATTTAAGTTCAGTTCGACACGACCAGATATACGTCACTCTGGTCTAAGTTCGACTAGGGAATTTTTTTGTTCAATAATAAATGTGAATTCTTCTTCATGGAAAAAATAAGACATCCCCTGAAAATAAGACCTAGCGCATCTTTCAGAGCAAAAATTAATATAAGACACTGTCTTATTTTTGGGGAAACATGGTATAGTAATCAATATCTATATAAATCAATCAAAGATTACCTAATAAAGCTTTATTAATGGGAGATATTTGAAAATTAAAGACTGACTTCACAAGATGGCTGAGGAAAAAAATGCTTCATTAGTTTACAAGGCAAAAAAGTTTTAAAAATTTTTTCCGTTGCTTCCAGTTTTCTCAGGAATTAAAGAAATTAAAAAATAATTTCTATTAAATCTGCATATCTATCAATTATAATTACTGCCAGCTCAACCAAAAATGTTACTCAAAGAATAATTTCACTTTTCTGAACTTACAGTTCTCAAGTTACACATTACAGACAATCCCTGTTTTTGGATGTGACTCGTTTCTTAAAGTCTAGGAATAGTTGCACATTACAAATACAGAGTTACCGTTTCCAAAGCATTCTCTACAATGAGTGCAATCAACATTTGATGATGTAAACATTACAGTCAGTTGGAATGATCATTTTTCTTTGTGTCCCCAGAAAAAGTTTGTTGTTTTAATGCAGCAGTTTCAGATTAAGCAAAACACAGACAAGAGTTAAATCGTCTAGGTAAATTAATTATAACTGAAACCAAACCAATAGAAGAGATCTTTGTACAATAACTTAAAATTTTTTGTATGAAAAGTGATTCAGGTACATCATAGTAGTACACACAAAAGAGTGAGTAGTCCAAAAATCAGACTGTCTGTATTCAATTTCTAATTCAAAAGTAATCTGTATATAAACATACTATGTGCTATCAACAAAACAGCAAAGAATTCAAATCTCTGTTCCACTTAAATATTTAAACAATTTAAGTTTTATTAAATTTTATATAAAAAAAAAAAGGTTTCAAAATTCACTGATATGGATAGCCGATCGGATCCACTCCCTCCAGAGAAGGTTTATAGACACACATCAACTCAAAATCTACATTAATTAAACTAAACTGTAATGGCTTTCTGTCTGTCTATTTGTCTCTCTCTTCACTAGTTGGTGACACANCTGTGGAATTTTTTATGTGGTTCAAAGAAGCTTTAAAGAAATTTTGGATGTTTGAAAGCAGTCAAAATATTTTTTATTGAATTGATATGTATTTAACATTTTTGAGAAATTAATTTCTATTGTAATGAGACAAGTATTAAATACAGGTGAACCTCGTACAACATGGTTTGAGAATTGGGGACTTCCTCGTACAAAATGTCAAATTTTTAAGTGCAAACACCATTTGATGATTTTTATTCAAGCAATCATAAGGGGATTTTAGAATATCGAAATTTTCAATGTTGTTTTGTCAGTTTTCTTTAATGATAACTGATTGTACAATTTTTCTTCTTTTTTGTTCTAGCTTTCTATAAACCACTTGTCATTGGTGATAGTGCTGTAAAGAACCTGAAGGATTGTTGCTATGTTTTGTTCTTATAGATTAATCTTTTTATGTAGTAACTTTAAAAGTTTAAATTAAAAGGCAAACACAAGTAAATGAAAATAATATATTTTGTTTTTAAAAGATAGAGAAAAATCAAGACACTGTAGATATTTCAAATTAAGGACAATAATATTTTGCCTAAAAGAAAACATCTTCATTTAATGATGTTTAGCAATGAAGAAAATAATATTAATGCACACTTTTGATTATGATTATTAAAGCAATCAATAATTAAGTAACAAAGATATTCTTCTTAATTACAAAAAAGAATAGTAAACTTTTGCTAACTTTTGGAACTTAACTCTGTTTTGTACTAGTACTTTTATTAGCATGGTTTTGCATAACACCATAACTTTTTCAGAACCTAACTACCATGTTATATGAGGTTATCTTCAATCTAAAATACTTATCAAAGTGTACAATAGTCAAATTAGTAACATCTTTCTATTTTATTTTTTAGGTTCATTGGCCGAACGACTCGGGAGAAAGACTGTGTTAATATTTTCCTCGGCTCCTTTTGTGCTTGGATGGCTGTGTATAATATTTGCGAACTCTGTACCTCTGCTGTTACTGGGTCGAATACTGAATGGTTTTGCCATAGGCATAATTTCCTTAACCGTTCCTGTTTACATAGCAGAAACATCACCACCAACCTTAAGAGGGTTATTGGGATCGTGTATACAATTATCTGTTACTATAGGAATGCTCTTTGTGTATTTTGTTGGCATATATACTAATTGGAAATTACTGGCTGCCATCAGTGCAATTTTTCCAGCATTGTTCTTAATATTAATGTGTATTGTTCCTGAAACTCCTCGGTGGTTACTGGCAAATCATCGATATTCAGAAGCGATTCAAGCTACAAAATTTATTAATGGTTCTCGAGTAAATGCCGAGCAAGAATGTCACATTATAGAAATGAAAATAAGAGAACAGTCAAGTGAAAAAGCTTCTATCAGAGAACTATTTCAGCCCCACATTTTAAAATTATTTTTATTCAGTTTAGGATTAATGTTTTTTCAGCAGTTTAATGGAATAAACAGCTTTTTATTTTATACACAAGGTATTTTCAAGACTGCTCAAGTGAAAATTGATCCAGATTACTGCACGACCATCGTGGGTGTTATGTTAGTTATTTCAACTTTCATTGCTAGTATCTTAATGGATTATGCAGGAAGAAAAATCTTGCTCTATATCTCAGGAAGCATAATGTGCATTAGTGTTGTTTCTCTTGCAACCTATTATTATATAATGCACAAAAAAGGATATTTTGAATACAGCTGGATAACATTAGTGTGTCTCTGTGTGTTTGTGTGTGCATTTTCGTTAGGCTTCGGCCCTGTGCCATGGCTGATGATGGGCGAACTTTTACCACTAAGAGTGAAAGGAATAGCATCTAGTATCTCAACGATGTTTAATTGGACTTGCGTATTTATTGTCACTGGAGAATATCATACAATGTTAGACTCTATGCATGATTATGGGACATACTGGTTTTATGGAGTTTTCTGTTTTCTTAGTTGTATATTTGTGATATTTCTTCCTGAAACTAAAGGAAAAACTTTGGAGAGTATTGAAAGAACATTTCTGCTGAGTGAAGACTTATCAGAAGGAATTAATTGATGTAAAAATGATTATTTATATAAAAATTCAATCAAGTTAATTAAAACTTTTATTTAAATTATGAATTGATCTTCAAGTACACAAGCAAAGAATATAAAAGTAAATATGAAGTTTTGATAGTCAAATCACCACTCTAATTTAAAAGTGTCTTTCTTTCATAGTATGTTCACTTTAAAGAAAATTTTGCTAGAAATGGTAACATTTTTCTGTTTATTAGATATTTAAAAAAATCTTGAATTTTTTAAGGTGGTCATGTATTAAATGTTTAATGCTACATTTAGCAGTATTAAAAATGTATTTTAACAAAAACTTATATTGAACTTGGGAGATAGCCAAGGCAGTAAAGACACTAATTTGCCTCTTCGAGGGACACGCATTGAGCTGACTGGGTTCAGTTTTCAGATAGGTTGGAGGCTGACAGATCCTTGCTGACCTAACAGCTAGCTGCTCCATTGGGGCCTGTATAAACTGTGATGAACTTAGTACTCAGAGTGGAGTTAAATCTTTGTCCTACAAGCAGAATAAAAAATATGTATCTACTATCTGATTATCTATCTAGTAATGTAGCTCATACTGTAAATTTCCTGTCTTATGAAGATTTTACTGTTTTGAAATAGGAAAAAATCTTTTACTTTTGTAGTTTTTAGCAGGCAACCTCTGCTGATATAATACTTTTTGACTAATGTAAGAAGGCTGTACATTGGCATCTTTTAAAAGTCAACTGGATAATCTTCTATTATTTGATATTTTACATCTTTATTATTATACTGCTCTCATAAAAAAAAAGTTCTACTGCCATACATACTGTATAAAAGAAAACTTTTTGCAGTAACAATTGTGTATTCAGAGATTGATCCCTAAATATTTTTTACAAATAATTCTGATGGTCTAATGACAAATTCAAAATCTAAATCAAAGATTGTTAAAGACAAGTGACGAGCGATACTGGAGCAATCAAATGAAACGTTTACTAGCGGAGTTTTTGTCCCTTGAGTCTGTAGTAAACAGATGGAAATTCAAGCTTAGCCAGCTCACAGCATGCCAAGGCTCTTCCTTGCAAATGAACTTTTCACCTGATTGCTCTGTAGCTTTGAACTGCTTAATGTTGGAACTGTTGTTCTGTTCAAACCACCAACCATTCCCCAAAGAGCAACAGTTTAAATCAATCATGAGATATTTGCTTTTATCATCATTTAATTTTCTGAATTTTCACATATCTGATAACACAATGGTAGAACTTCAGGTATAAAGCTTTCATATCTATACCAGTGTCAAATAAAGATGGAATTTTTTTTTACATGTAGATTTTTGTAACAGATTTCACATTATACATTAACTGTTTTATATAATAGTATTTAAATTACGTACAAGAGAAATTTTTATTTTACGTACATCAATATATTTGTATTCAATTAGTCAGAAATTAAGTTGTAAAGAATCTCAATGAATAGAATGATTTATGGATACATTTTAAAATACAAGTATTAAATGTATAAGATAACTGACTTGTTTCATTCTCTGATTTCAATAACACATTTGCAGTCAATTGTAAGGCTGTCATTGGCTGAAGTTTATAAAATGATAGTTGTGAGTAACCTCTCAGATTACCCTCATGTAGCAACAGTTATTGATTTGTTCTTTCACTACCAGTGCACACTGTTCAGCATGAAAGAGTTTCAGTGAAATGCAATTAACAATAACTGAAAAGTCAATGTAAAAAGATGTTCAACAAGTTGTTAAACATCTCCATAAATGACCCTCCAAGACAGGCATTTGTTGTCTGATGTGAATCAAAACCAAGAATAAATGTTCAGTAATGTGCGATGGTTGTGGGTTATAAAGACAGATTCATCTTTCAATAACAGTGCAGTACACTGCAATAATAATAATATACAGTATCTATGTGAATAAACAAATGTTTAAATAATAATGTATTGTGTATTTTTGTGAGCCGTTTACAGGTGAGAAATGTTAGTTATAGTTTCTAAAATTTTGCTACAACTTTTTTTAGTAAAATTAGCTCAAATGCTACAGTAAATTTTTTCTCAGCTTAAACCCTGGTATAGGATTCTGTAAAGAAGCTTCTACTTACCTGAATGATGCACAAAGATGCTACTGCAGCTGTTGGTGCTTTTTTTCACACAACTATCCCTCTTGGCATATGAGGCATCCAAATCCTGCAATGTATGTACCATCATCGACCCACTTCAAAGTCACGTCAGAATGGTTTAGATAGCAGGTAATTTGTCAAAACGGCCATCCGGCTTTCCTCAGCCTAACAATGCAGCCTTTCTCATACACTGTTAGCCATGCCTAATGTATTTGACTGCATCATTTGAAGACCCCCAGAATTTTCAATATACATATCATTTTAACACTGAGCCTCTGCAAACATTTTTTATAGGATACCAAGATAGTATCCTAAAAAAATGTAGACTTTAAGGCAGGATACCTGGAATACAACTGGATCTTAACTGTCAAATCATTTACATGTATGTCTGAGACATTCAATTACTTTAATGCATACAGCTATCTAATTCCTAGTGCATAAATTTTTTTAATCATGATTTTAATTATGGAAATTTGGTTTCTAAAACTCAAGTTATTTGAGATTATTTTAAAATCTTTACCATGGATATATTGGGAGGTGGGTCTATTTTAGTAGTAGCTTTTATGACAACAAACAATCCAAATATCTAATTATTAATTTTGTATTTGTTTGTTAAATGGAGAATTTACTGCATTATTATAATCCAACTATGATCACACAAAAACTATTCGGAAGAAGGGATTCCTAGAACCGTAAAACATCAATTTAATGAAATTATTCACACCAGATGTTAAACCCAAAAACTAATCTGTCAATTTTTTAACATATGATTTCTGTTTTTACTTGTGTAGAAATGTTTGTGTAATTAAAATTAAGTATTATGAGAAGTAATTACATAGAAGTTTTCTATATGTATTATTGTTCATGTTTAACTGTAGTTCTGAGACCGTAATAAAAAAGTTATTTTCAAAAACTATTTGTTTTTTTAAATACAATAAAAAAGAAACATCAAAAATGTTTCCTATGTTTAGTCTTCAGATGATACATCAAAACACTCCCATTGTGGCATAAAGTTAAGAGTGGCAACACTTAGATTTAAAAAACTTGCCAATTTTGATTTAAAATGCTTTTTATATGTAATTAACAGGATGTTAATTTTGTCCATTAAATCAAGGTTTTACTGTATTTTACAACTGCCCCGAAATCCAAATATAGGCAGTCCCCACTTTTGTGTATAATACTTTCTTTCTCCTCTGTATCACCAAATTACTTTTTTTATGCCAAATTTGCACTTTCATACATTTTGGCTGATAGACAAACATTCCAAGCTATCGTACAATGTTAACAAAAAGTGCACAAAATATAGTTATTTGTGAAAATTTTTATTGTATTTTCTTGCATATAGTCTGCAACATGGACACCTCACAGAAAATTGTAAGGGTTTTATTTCCATTCTCTCTAAACAATTGCAAGGTTTTAGCATTTTAAATAATATTTTATGAACTGTAACATGATAAATGTCTCTTGTACATGGGGTAAACAAACATCAGGATTTTTTTTTACATTTGGAGTAAGACCAAGTATTCACTCAAAACTAGTCTTCCAAGAAGTCCAGAACAAATTCCAAGACCTGTCGGGTTGCTGTCCCTATGCGGACAAGGAAACATGACCGGGTTGACAAGGCCCAATGTATCCATAACAAACCACCTTGTAAAAACTTCCAAAGATGTTTACTCAAATTTGATCCCGAGAGCCCAGAATAGTAGGCCAACACCTTCACCATCCCCATGGAAGTATAGAATCCACACATGCTTCCATTCTGTCAGGAAATCTATATAAATAAAACTGTAGCAGCTAAAATGTTTGTTGCTGCATCATGGGAAAATTCCCGAACATATTTTAACCAAACTTCATATTTTGAATCTGTCGGTTCCAGAGAAGGTTTATAGACACACATCAACTCAAAATCTACATTAATTAAACTAAACTGTAATGGCTTTCTGTCTGTCTATTTGTCTCTCTCTTCACTAGTTGGTGACACATGAATTAGTACTTCCTGTCAAGAGATTATCTATAAGAATGACATATTATTGAAGTTTACTATTATATTTCAAGAACTATTACTTAATTAGCAAAATCTTTGAGGCATTAAAAAAGTGACGTCGTCATGCTAGGTGCAGGTTTTTCGAACCGTTACATATTTTGTTCGTGATTTGTTAGGCCAAATTGTATTTGCATGAGTTTTATTTATTTGTGCGAGTGAAGATTATGCCTACTCGGAAACAACAAAATCTTGGCCGATTTTGAAGGAAAGTAAACAGGTAAGACTGTCTAAAGATTCAGAGAACCTGTCTTGGAGACAAGCTAGGCTGAGTTCTCAGAGAGAATGGCAAAATACTCTGCGAGTCTCCAAGAGTACTACAATTCCTTGGTGCAAAAAGCTCCAAAGTGCCTTCATTTATGACACTCTCTTACACTATTCATCATTAGCTAATATTAGGTCTATGGACAAAGTCTATGGGTACTGCAGTACTCTGAAGTGGAAGAATGAATCACAGGGGATGTCCTGCACTTCTGGCAAAGTTAAACTGGATATTGTTCTTGTTCTCCCACAACCTCTTCTATCATTATTAAATAGGATTCAACAAAATCTCGAGACTTGCAGGACTTGACCTCAGATGCAATTGCTTTCCAAGTGGCCAACTCTACGTTGCATGCTCACATGTTAGTAGCTGCAAATCTGTTCATTTGTGCCTCTGATAATAAAACACGAAATGCCATATATCAGGAGGTTATTCAATAAGTTTATCTAGAAAATATCCTACATCTTTAATGGGAATATTATGAATCTGTAACAAACAATTCTCTGCAGATATACTCTTTAGGTAAGTAAATATAATTTCATCAATGATGAGTAATATAGCTACCGTGTTTCCCTGAAAATAAGACCTAGCATAGATTTTGCTGAATAGCTAAATATAAGGCCTCCACCCGAAAGTAAGACCTAGCAAAGTTTTTTTTTTACTCGTAACGGTCATCGACAGATGGTTGAAAGTGGCCGTTGACTTTTTGAAAGTACAGCCACTGATTGGTCAGCAGACAATCACGCCACATGGCATGATTTGCATAAAACTATGGCTCGGGAATCACAGATTTGCATAACATTACGGTTGGTGATGGCTAATTGGTCGGCCGGGAATCACGCCACATCACATTTGCATAGTGCTACAGTTCAGTAAGCACTAATTGGTCATCGAGCCCAATGTCAACGCTATAAAAAGGTTAAGTTGAAGCGAGAATGGGAAGTCCACTCCAGAACTTCGTAAGTTCATTTATGTTCATTACTTCGGTTTTATTTAAGTTCAGTTCGACACGACCAGATATACGTCACTCTGGTCTAAGTTTGACTAGGGAATTTTTTTGTTCAATAATAAATGTGAATTCGTCTTCATGGAAAAAATAAGACATCCCTGAAAATAAGACCTAGCGCATGTTTCGGAGCAAAAATTAATATAAGACACTGTCTTATTTTCGGGGAAACATGGTATAGTAATCAATATATATATAAATAAATCAAAGATTACCTAATAAAGCTTTATTAATGGGAGATATTTGAAAATTAAAGACTGACTTCACAAGATGGCTGAGGAAAAAAATGCCTCATTAGTTTACAAGGCAAAAAAGTTTTAAAAATTTTTTCCGTTGCTTCCAGTTTTCTCAGGAATTAAAGAAATTAAAAAATAATTGCTATTAAATCTGCATATCTATCAATTATAATTACTGCCAGCTCAACCAAAAATGTTACTCAAAGAATAATTTCACTTTTCTGAACTTACAGTTCTCAAGTTACACATTACAGACAATCCCTGTTTTTGGATGTGACTCGTTTCTTAAAGTCTAGGAATAGTTGCACATTACAAATACAGAGTTACCGTTTCCAAAGCATTCTCTACAATGAGTGCAATCAACATTTGATGATGTAAACATTACAGTCAGTTGGAATGATCATTTTTCTTTGTGTCCCCAGAAAAAGTTTGTTGTTTTAATGCAGCAGTTTCAGATTAAGCAAAACACAGACAAGAGTTAAATCGTCTAGGTAAATTAATTATAACTGAAACCAAACCAATAGAAGAGATCTTTGTACAATAACTTAAAATTTTTTGTATGAAAAGTGATTCAGGTACATCATAGTAGTACACACAAAAGAGTGAGTAGTCCAAAAATCAGACTGTCTGTATTCAATTTCTAATTCAAAAGTAATCTGTATATAAACATACTATGTGCTATCAACAAAACAGCAAAGAATTCAAATCTCTGTTCCACTTAAATATTTAAACAATTTAAGTTTTATTAAATTTTATATAAAAAAAAAAAGGTTTCAAAATTCACTGATATGGATAGCCGATCGGATCCACTCCCATGTCCAGTAATTTCAACGACGACTCGCACAGTTTTCTTTGTAAGTTTTCTAATTCTTGAAGGTTGAATTCCTGAAAAAGAAGAGTTAAACAATTATTATAATTTCTGAGTAAGGTCAATTCACAAATTTAGTAATTCTATTTTTCACAATTGTAGCTACCCTCATAATGCACCGTAAAGCCACTTGTTATAATGTTATGAGAGCTCTAGCAACAACCAACAATGAGAAAGCTTAAAGTGTAACATTCACCTGTTAGAGAAAAAGCTGGATGAAAATAGGACCGATTTAAATCTTTAAAACGTGCATGTGAGTAACTGGGGTACCTTGCACGGACAGGAAAAAAATTCAAACCAATTAACTTTGTGCCACTACTTGTGAACAGGCAAGATAATCGATTCCAACTTTTGTAATTACCCGGGAAACAGTTATATGTATCACCATATGAAGAATGCTCCGCTTACCTAATGCCAATATAGATACCCATCAACTTTTCTTTACATTGCATAATTTGTGGATGTCGTGTGATTGTAATTAAAGTTGTTCCATTTGAACAACACTGTAGTTCCAACCAATAGGTTAACTGAAACCAAAATTTGTATACACACTAATCAAAGCATGTACTGTACAAAAAGGATTTTACAAAGAGAAATGTTACTTCCAAAATTGTCCATTAGAAAAAACAGTGCTGCAAAACAACAAAAAAATTTATTCATTCATATGGTGACATATCTATGTGCTGTACAGATTGAACAACATTCCTGCATTGCTAAGCAATATGTTCCATCATTTAAGTGTAAAATTTGATGATGATGCAAAGCTTGTTCAATGGCTAATAACAACTGTTTCCCATGACATTTCATAAATGCAATGCAATACAGTCCTTTAAATCTGACAATGTTGCAACATTGCTTGCAGTGCCATTTACCCTGTAGCAAACAACAGATTAATGCCTTTACTGGCAGAGGCTGCAAAGGCATCGATACAATTTTTGCATTGACAGTTTCATTTACGAAATTAAAATTTTATGTGCCATCTATGATTTGTCTATGGAAATTTGATGCCATTTTAATCTGAACATCTTGGTGTTTGGATTAAAGTGACAGGAGTCTAATATCAAAAGTTACACTGAAACTATTGAAGTATCTGTAATATCCGGATGCATGAAAAAAACAGTTAACAAATACCTACAGCCAAAATAACATAAGAATTCATAAAAGTGTAATTATGTCCAATATTAACTTAAACGGCAACAATGTGAACTAAAAATGCCAAACTATACGAATGACAAATGCTAACAAAAGAAATGAGAATATCCAAGAAAAAACTACTAAAATATGATTCTTATCGTATAAATCCACAAACAGTAATTAAGGAGAATAGCCCAAGACAATATACTATACAGAAAGATCATATTGATGGGATGTGGCAATACAAGACATGGATGAACAACCCCTCCAGGGAGACTTCTGATGAGAAACTGGCCCGTTTAGGTGTTATATGTGAAGAAAAGCTGGAAAACTCCATGTGACCATCCCAACAGTGGGTGTAAAGCCACAATTGACTACCAGTGTTCAGTGTTTTATCCACTATACAAAAAATAAGATGACAAGGAGTCTCTTTTGACAAATTAATAATTGTAGTTTCCATTTTTATTTCATACAATATTCCTAAAGCAATTGGCAACAAAGAAAGTAGTAAGCATATTTTTACCTTGTATAACTGATTCTTTTCTGATGTGATGATATCTGCAATTTGCAGACATTCTTCAAACTGACTCGTGCTATGTAAAACCGTATGTAACAAAAATGTCATCTGTGGTATGCAGAGTTTCCTCAGTAGGGCCATCTGTTTTTGACGTGCTTCGTCGATGACGCCTTCCTACACGAATGTTAACACAATTACATCTTGTTTCGAACAATTATTGTAACTAGCACTCTATACTTACGGTTCTCTGATCAACCATCCATCCTCCATCGATAAATAAGAGAACGTTATAAATTCTGTCAGTCGTACTCTGACAACAAGAATAAATAATGGTTACAACATCAATTTATCATTTAAAACTAAATGTAATAAGAAACTAACTTCCGTCTGTGCCCGGAGTGACTGCTCCCATCTTTCCAGGTCTGCCTCGTACTGTTTCATTCTGTGTTCGAATGCAATCCATTCTGTAAACCTGGTGTTTTCGGGACGGATTGGTTCCTTTGGTCTGGCCTGGTGGTAGTGTTCAAACCAATCATTAAATGCATCATGAGCTTGCTGCAAATAGATTTGTATGAGCCACTGAAAATTTCCAATTTAATCTTTAACATAAAATAAACAAACCAAATATGCTTGAAAACAAAAATATTCTCTGGTTGCATTATCGTCTTCCGGAGGTAGTTCAGTTGTTCCAGTCTAAACATGATGGAAATTATATTAATTTATGGTTTGTTTATTAGAGAATTCTGGTTCTGAACCACAGGAATAAAGTTGGCACCTACAGAGAAAGCCTAAAAGCATTAATTTGACCATTTTATCTATGATGTTCCCATAATACATGAAAATCAGTTGTGTATCAGACGCTCCTATTTAATAATCATTAACTTGATAATCAAGTTGTAATGGGCCATGCCTCCATTATATTGTTATATTTTACAAAAAAAACAACAGAAAAATTATTATTTTTTTCATTTTTTCATTGTTACTTCATTAATAAATGTACTGCAATAATAATAATCATCTGAAGATGAACTTGAGCTACAATTACTTAATAATTTTAAAGTGGACTAAGACCAAATTTTACATTTCCACTTCCAGATTTGTGCATTTTTCATTGGGAAATGCACAAATTTAACAGGTCTATGCTTTTTAACCCATGATTGCCTACAGTAGCAGCAATTTTTTGCATCTACTAGTTTTTCACGGGCATTTTTCACCAAACTGACTTACTTAGCTAAGCTTTCATGACATTCTCATACTATGTGCCGTCCACCTCTGTAAGCCAAGATGCTATGACCTTCAACAATTTATATGTACTCGCAGCTGCATTGTGTGCCAGAAAAATCATTTTTTAATTACACGTGAAAAATCAGAATAAAATACCACCTTAAGCATGCTGTCACAGGTTAATTAATACATATTTTGAATATTAGTTACAAATTCATCAAATAGGAGGCAGTAGTCTGATTTATTTTTGAAAGAAGTTCTAGAATATTCAATTCTAAAGTGAACAAAGTTCATTTGTTATTAGTTGGAGATTGAATGAGCACTCATTTTTTACATTTAAGACATTGAGTTAAAGCATATACTCATAAATACAACATACTTTATTCTGACTTATGCACTAACCAAAAGATAAACACAAAAACCTCAATCAACCTCGTAAAAACAGACTGGAAATGATATCGCAGCAGAAACACTAGTCACAAAGTCAGCATTTTTACTGTCAATAATTGGAAAGACAATACATTAACACCAAAAGACTAAAAAGCCTTGATATTCAGATGCTTTCTAGAGATACTTTTCCATCCACAAAATCTTTAGATGTGACAATTTAACAGAAAAGTTACTGTAGACAGCTTAGAAATGAATTGGTCAAATACATGTTGGCTTTGATACAAGGAAAAAGTCTATAAAAATCAAATGCACATCATTACGGCGTTCACAATGCCCGGCTGCAATTTTTTTTATCATATTTTAATTTAAAAAACTGCGTGACTTCTTGACTAGACTGGAAGTTCATATATAGTTAATCCATATCTGGTCTCTATTTTCATCTATCTAACTCCATTCTTGAGATTAATGTAAGACAGATGGACAGATAACAGTGAGAATGTAGAGGTCTGCAATTTGAAAACTGCAGCCAAATAAAATTAAACACTTAATGAAGAAGATGCATTCCACAAAATATACTTAAAACAGCAGCAATATAGATGTAATGTGCAATCATTGGCTAGTATTAATTCAGATAGGTTGTATCCTAAAAGAAATTCCATCAATGAATCATGCAATGAAAAAAACATATTTTGGCTCTGTTACCATATATTCCACCTGTACATTTACCAATAGTCACAAACACACTGTCAAACATTAACTTTGTTCAACTGATGATGAATATGTATCTAGTTTTTATTATCTACATTGTTTAATGCAAATAAGTTAATATTTAATACACTGGAATTGATCCTTAAGGGACGGAGAAATCATATTCCCAAAATTTTTTTACTGGAAAATTGTCACTATTCTCAATATATACTGTACTACAAAAATTAGGAGTAGAACAAGTACATAATTATACAACAGGTGCACTTTATAATTGGTCACTCCATACATAGAACAGACAATTAGTGAAAATAAAGAACATTTACATTGACATTCAGCCTGATGGAAAGTACAAGATTCAGTCAACGTCAAAGACTGGTGTAAAATTAGTCTCCGAAAACTAAGCACCTTTTGGTTAGAGAGATAGAGAACAATTGTAAAAACTGCACTTAATTCTTCTTTGCAACTGTCAGACTCTCTCAGGACTTGACATCAATGGGCACAGAGATGATTATGATCTATTGGTCTTAAACACATTACTTATAATGTAAATGTCAACTTTTTGTGTTACTTTTAATTAAATTAATTTGAAATATTATTTTTGGGTTTTTGGAATTTTTTCTGCCTTATTCCCATGCAACAGAATCAGAATTTTATTGGTTTCCTTACAGAATTCAAACATACTCACGATTCTTTTCCATTGACGAATTATTATGTCAATGGAATCTGAAGGAATTTTTGAAAATACTTTCCTTGCAGCATCTAACTTTTTATTTGCTATAAAAAAATATTTATTAATAGATTTAAAAGATACATATCTATATAACCTAACATAATATAAATGATGCATTTTTAGCAAAAAAACTCACCGATGAACACTCTCATTAGTGCATTTGCTTGCCGTATGGCTTCCGATCTCTGTGCAGGATCAAATACCAGCCAATCGATTGCTTCAATCTTCAAGAGATCTTCCTAATAAAATAAATCTGTTAAGACTTTTATTCTATATAATTCAAATACACGGAATGATTGTTTTTATAATTTCTACCTTAGTCGTTTCTGAAGATAGAATGCTAGTAGTGTCGTCCTCTCCTTCTTTAGATCTGATATTCTCAACCAAGGTCTTTGTTATCAGAGCAACGTCCAGTCCGACTGACTCAGCAAGTTTTAGGCAAAGTTGCCTTTCTTTAGTCCCACTGATTCCTTCCAAAAATTTGGCATACCATAATATTTGTTGTGGAGTGGGTAGCGTGGCAGTATAGTCGGCAATCAGCATCACTTGCTGTTTCTCGATCAGATCCTAGATCAAATAAAAGTCGCATTATTATGGAGTATTATTATTATAATCATATTATTATGGAAGGTAAAGGAACAAAAACATGGAATTTATTGCATCCATTCCAAGAAATGCCAGCCCTTTTCTTTTATTGAAATTACACTGAAATCTGAAATTGCAAAACGCAATATCAATCAAAAGTGTATATATAATCCTTGTATACAATCTTTCTGAGTGTATCCTTCACCAAAGAATGTCAACAATCACATACAAGGATTGTATATTTATGGATCTAAGATCATATTTTATATCAAAAAATTAATTTTTTTTTATACAAGTGTTTAACAAATCACGAAATGTGCTTTGTATGATTGGCATTGATCTTAATGTACTGTACAGTACATCAACAATTTGTACTAAGTTAATCCAAATTCTTTGTACCGTGTTTGACACAATGACTTTGTAAGCATTTTTATCAATTGCTACAAGTGAGTTTTATTGGAAATCTGTATATATTACATAAATAACATGTATAGTAGGACGAAGAAATCACTATGGTTGGTGTTATATGTGCGCTTTATCACAAGTACTTTCGACGAATTTATAGTCGTCATCATCAGGCAAATACAGAAAATTAATAAGAACAAACAGAAATATTCTGAAGAAGAACAAAATGCATATTATTCAAATTAAAACATTTGATAATACCATTAGGAACAAGCAACAAATATTCAAATGTGTTCAAAATTGAACGAGCAGTAAGATACGTAATATGCAAAGCAGCACATGCGTGGATGCAGGCCCACGTTATAAATATGACAGAGGATAAGGATAGTTGTTTAACCGCTTATACAGCGTAGGAGACTAGGAGTGTTGCATGTATCTAAGGTTGTGGACTCCCATATAAAAACAAGTTTTTGATTTTTGCAGCACTTGAGCATAATTGCTTGGGACCATAGCAGGTTGTAACCCTGCTCAAGCACCTTTTTTATAAGTTCTGTGGTGTGTCTTCCCTTCACAACATCATTCTGGTGTTCCACAAGGTGGCTAGCCAGCATTTTTATTGTGGCCCCAATGTACTTTGTGTTTATTTCCGTTGCAAGATTCTCCAGTGGTACAGTTAGACCCCCGATTTCTCAAAAGTATAAAATTTGTCCTGATTATTGCAAATGAGCTTGCGTAGATTTGGAAGTGGGGATAGTGGCAGGATAAAGTTATGCTGCTTAAAAATACGGCAAATGCATATAGAATGGGGTCCAAGGTACCCATGACAACAATGGTTGGACCACAGAAATTTCCCTCTTATTGCATAGCATGGTATTTGGAAATGGAGATTTTTTTACCGTGTTGAGCATATGCATGAACTTAGCACATGAAAAACCAGAAGTGCATACTGCCAAAATAATGTTGTATAATTCAATATTCACTAGCACTTGCGATGATGATAGTAAGAAGGCCCTTCTGATGAGGGTGGCAATGGCGGCGTTAGCATAACGTGAAGGATGGAAAGCCTCTGCTGGGATAATATGTAGTGCCATATTAGATTTGTAGTGAACCAAGAACTGTGGTCTTTCAGGAGATCTATGTATGTACAAATCTAAGAACAATATTGCTGCATCATTTTCTTTCTCCCAAGTAAAGTTGATGGAAGGATATATACTTGAGAGTTGCTTCATGAAGGTAAAAAAACATCTCATCTGTATCTTCCCAAGCTATAAGGATATCATCAACATAATGCAAATACAGCCACGGGTAGTAGATGGCAAGCAGGGAATTGAACGTTCTGTTCTCAATTTCTCTCATAATGAGTTCTGCTAGAATAGCAGATAAAGGGGAACCCATAGGAACTCCCTGTTTTTTTAATAGATTTTTTGATTAAAGAAATAATTATTCTCAGTGATAAAGGTCAGTGCATCACATATATCAAGTACCTGTTGGATATTGAAGCCCCTTTCTTTAGGAGCAGAGAATTGGCAAGCATTACATTTTCGAATGTGGGCACTGAAGGTACAAGGATACTATATCTAGTTTGTAGAAGGTGTAGATGTATGGCTGTAGTGCACCAATGCTTGAAGTGATAGTGGATTTGGTACTTATGAACAAGGAAGTAACATAGGGAGAATCTGGAATTAATGCACGTAGGAATTTAGCAAGCACCTTTTCTAAAAAGTAAGTAGGGTGAGATCTCTTGTTTACAAGCAAACATAACGCCCAGTTTGTCTTATGCTGTACCACTGGAGAATCTTGCAACAGGAATAAACACAAAGTACATTGGGGCCACAGTAAGAATGCTGGCTAGCCACCTCTTAGAACACCAGGATGATGTTATGAAGGGAAGGCACACCACAGAACTTATAAAAAAGGTGCTTGAGCAGGGTTACAACCTGCAATTATAAAGGGTTACAGTCCCAAGCAATTATGCTTAAGTGCTGCAAAAATCAAAAACTCGTTTTTATATGGGAGTCCACAACCTTAGATACATGCAACACTCCTACTCTCGTCCTACGCTGTATAAGCAGTTAAACAACTATCCTTATCCTCTGTCATATTTATAATGTGGGCCTGCATCCACACATGTGCTGCTTTGCATATTACGTATCTTACTGCTTGTTCAATTTCGAACACATTTGAATATTTGTTGCTTGTTCCTAATGGTATTATCAAATGTTTTAATTTGAATAATATGCATTTTGTTCTTCAGAATATTTCTGTTTGTTCTTATTAATTTTCTGTGTTTGTCTGATGATGACAACTATAAATTTGTCAAAGATACTTGCAATAAAATGATGCACAAGTAATGCCGAACACAGTGATTTCTTCGTCCTACTATACAATATTTGGTGTGAATATCAATCTATAGAAAATAAGATGTTTTATGGCATTGTTAAGACTATGATTCATAGCTATAGAATGATGATTATTATAGATGTAATTAACACTAAGAGTTAAAAGCATTTAATTTTTCCAATGACACACAGTTTCCAACATTTCAAATGACTCATTGTTAGTATTAGTTGGTCCAAACCTTCTATTCTCAGAGAAAAATATGAATTTGACAATAACATATTATCAATGGAATAATGAATTAAGCCAACATAACACTTGGGCAATCTGCCACAGAGATGCCTCCTGGGAGGACTTTCTACAGGAAATTCACCCCTATTTAAGTGTTAACATGTGAAAAAAATCTGAAAACTGCACATATCCAGCCTGCTAGTGAAGCACAAATCCTAACCAGCTATCATCATTCAGTGGTTTCATCCACTCACCCATATAACACTCTTAGAAATACTTTTATAAAAAATATTACAAAAATTAAAATGATATATTTGCAATATTAATTACTGTTCTTTCAGCACAACCCATCAAGTAAATTCTGTTACCCACTGATAAAAATTTATTGTAAAGCTGATAGAGTGAGCAGATCTGTTCCTTCACAAATCTTTAGATAATTAAATAATTATTTCCTAAACACAGAGTTAAGTAGAAAACCTGAAAGAGATTATACTTTCTTCCAAGAATAATTTTATATTTATATTAGATATTTGGAAGCAATGTTTTATGGTATTATTGTGTAAAGAACAAAGTAAAAATAATGTTTTATGCTTAAAAATATCTTTTCAATAAATGTAAGTAAAAATGAAAAGAATAAATTTAGTAAGAATTATATTCAATACCTTGACATAGGATTCTAATATGGCAACAGTGAGTTCTTCTTTACAGGAACGACCAATGGTACGTAAGAATAGTATGACGTGACTCATGAAACGTAGCAGATGGGATGACGGACGTGGTTGCATCTGAGACCACTTGTACATCTCTTCGACCAGAGCTGGAATTATTGGATTCTTTTATAACAAATAAATATAGGCTACTCGATTTATTTACCATCTTTTTACCTTCTACGTTATCTAAAATGATGTACTTTTGCATGACGTGATAATAATTTGTGCTCTTCATCTGTGTGATCTGAAATTAAGAAATAAAATGAATTTATTCTTTATTTTTCTTGTTTTATATTCTTAAAAACAGAAATTATGTTTTGATACTTTAGAATTAAATTTCAAAAAGAATTTCTAGTTATAAAATTACTATTGAGAGCTTATCCATTCTGTGACTATCATAATGAGTGTATTTTATTGTGCAATGATCTTTGGTAGGACCATTTTAAGCACTTTTGAGAGTCCCAGCTCAATTTCTTTAGATGTAATGTATAGTATAGAACAAAAATATTAGTGACAAGCAGTGAGACAAGATCCCTAAAGTATATACTAGTGTGTTAATGCAACCCTGGCCTTCATTCAATAAGCATGCACCACCCGTCATCTTCATTTAGTTCTCAAAGTTGATTCCAAATATTTTTGTTTACTTACTCAATACATTGTTTACATTTGTCTAAACTTGTTTGTTCTCCAAAACTATTTCAGATTTCAAAAATTTTAAAGATTAACCCAAATTTTATTCCAATTTTACATAACACAGGTAAATGCCATTTTTATACTTTAATTTCTTTGTACTTTTATACTACATTTCTAACATTAGAAATATTATTTAAATAACTCACATTTGATACACTTGCTTGTAATTCCTGAAATATTTGTTCATTTGTCAACCTGAAATTAAACATTATTTTGTATACTTTACATAATATAATAATAACATCTTAATATTTATGCACAATACACACGTTTTATCCCAATATGTCGAAGGCAGCTGTTCCAGTGCACGCTCTTGCTGGGTGGATCTCCTTATTTCCTGTTCGATTCGGACATCTAATGCCACTTTCATGTAAGCCCATAGATAATCTTCCCACGATGCACAGACGGGAAGTAAAACTTTCAAATTACCGCTGAGTGCAGCATACATCGCCCTTTCATATTCTGGAATGCGAACCTACACGAAAACAACTTTATTTCTCTTTATCCATTTTAATATTTAATTTGTTGAATTTCAATTTAACTTACATCTTCCGAAATCTTCCAACACATGGCTTTCCATACGTCTCTATAGGGATTTCCTTCGATGTCACACAGAACATCGCCTTCGGAAACATTCTTGTCAAAGTTGGCATCATGACATAACTTCCATCCCTCCAGAGCAGCAGCCAGCCATGGTTGTCCGAATCTTTCTGCCAAATTTTCAGCCTATATAATATTATCAAAATTGCATCTTAAGATAAAGTTATTAAAGAAAAACAATGTGAAAATCTTCCATTACTTTAAGGAGTTGTCCAGAACGAAGATATGCAAACATGTATTTAAGAAGTCTTGATTCATTTCTCTAAAAAATAAAAAAAAAATTGAAATACAAAATAATTTATGTAAGTGTTTTCAAAAGGGCATACCTTATCTGTATCGTGCAATTTTCGATCATTAAGTCGAATTGGTGCATCTGGATCAAGTTCGTTTATTAAAGAGTGCTGTTCAGATGATGCATGATCTACTTTAGGATTCATTAGGGCGTGATACGTATTTTCCCTGAAAAAATTTAATGTAAATTCTCTATAAAATATCATAATGTGTGCTTCAGATAATTACAATAGATAAATTATAAACTTGTATACTAAATTTTGGCCATTTTTGGAAGTTAACATAATTTGAGATTACATGCAAAGGCACATTCTGCACACAATTAGGAGGGCTGTTTATTGGATGCCTCTCATTGTTTGGCCCGGACCACAATGGAACTATTGGTTGGCAAATGATGGATCCCAAATATCTAGACTAAACCATCCATAAAAATGTTTGAAGTTTCAATACAGACTCAAATCTATGTCTGAAGAACAGCAGGCCAACACTTTTACTAACAATATGCATACTGTTGACAATATTACATTTTGTTTGCATTTAATAAATATAAATAATTTCTAATTACCTTATGTTCATTATATGTAACACATCTTCCATTTTGATGTCTCCAAATGAATTTTTTTCTACAATAAACTACAATATTGAAAACCGAAAGAAAAACAAAGGCAAACAGCCAGTCTTTGATGAACACACCACCTCTCATTACATCATACTGGCTTTCCACTTTGAATTGCCTCAAAATCACACTATCATCTATCACCATTGTCATTGCTAATGCACAAGAAAATCACTTTTGAGTACTTTGACAACAGAGTACTGGAACAATGTATATTTTCACCTGGCGATTCTGTCACAGCAAATTAACAGCTCTGACAGAATTGCAATTGCCATTGATGCAGTATTCATAATTCCAAGTGTAAGTGGCATCATATTTTTACCCATCATCTTTAGCACTATATACAGCATAGTGTGGAAAATTTCAAAAAGGTGCAAAAAAAATTAGCAAATATTAGATTTAAAGAAATTAAATTGAAAAATATAAAACTTTATTTTAAGATAAAAGTTTTGCCACCATTTAAAAAAAATTTCCATAATTTATTGGAAATTGCCTTCCATCTCATGTAAAGAGTGTAGGGCACATATAGCAGTGTTTTGCATCGCTTTATGAATCAGGTGACAGCAATGTGATTGCACTAAGTGGAGAGCCAGAATCACAGAAATTAAGCAGCAAGAGGTCCAAACAGTGTTGTGGTCCAATGGCATTGTCTAATCCCTCTCAGAGTACGGTACAATGGCTGATTCCAAGTCTGGATCACAAGATTTCTCTTGTGATCCAGACTTGGGTTGACAATGGGAAGGACATTCAGCTGTGAAACAAAACATAAGCATAAAAAAAGCAACTAAAAACCAGCATCTGTTTTGACATTATTAAACATTTGAAAACTGTAAAGTTGAGTAAAGTACACTTAAATATCAAAACTTTAAAAGAGAGCAATTAAATGCAATTTACTTCCACAGCTGCACCAAATCGAGAATTACTGTAATTACTGTTAACTTTTACATCCAGTATTCATAAAAAACTTGATTTTATGGATCTAATGTACTGTCTTTTGAAAACAGTAGATCAAATCTACTTGTTCAAAAACACTTGGTGGAGTGGAAATAAAATATCCAAGAACATCACATTGTTATCAGAATGCCATAATATAATGTACAAAATATTTGTTAGGCAGCATGGCAGCAGTTACTTGGCTGCAATTTTCAAATTGCAGACCTATAAATTCCCACTGTCATCCATCTGTCCTTCTTGAGAATGAAGTTAGATAGGTGAAAATCATGACCAAAAAAAGTTTAGGAACTGGAAGCCTCGATTACCTATATCTATATATGAACGTCCACTCTGGACCTAAAGTCATGTGATTTTTTAAATTAAATTATTATACTGTGGTACCTCAGGATACAAAATTAATTCGTTCCGAAACTGAGATCGTATCATGAAAATGTCGTAAGGTGAATCATTTTTCCCCATACGATTACATGTAAAACCAAATAATTCGTTCCAACGAAAAAACACTCAAATTAAAGCTAAGTAGTACATTAAAAAATAATAATAAATATAGTAAGGAAAACACTGAAAAATGCGTTTTGTAGTTGTATAAATAACCATAATAGAATAATAATTAATTTTAAAAAATATATAGTTTTATTTGCACTTTACTTTTGAGGATAGACGAAGGTGGCGGTGTAAACTGATGGCAGAGGAGGGGAAGAAGGGAAATGATACTAAAATCTAACTTACATAACATAATGTAACGATAACTTAAAAATAACTTAGAAAAGATTAAAAAAATTATTGTTGTTTTATATTTTTTGTTTTAATTTTTATTCACTGCTTTTTGCTTTATTTCCTTCACTTTCACCAGCGCTTTCACTGGATACAGGTGGCTTGGTTAAATATCTATCCAAAGAGGTTTGGCTTTGCCTACTTTTTAAAATGTTTATAAAATGACTTAGGCAAATACGATTACTCCGAGCTGTAATACGGCCAGTGTGAACCTTTTTGAGATGTTTCTTTTCAATAAAATCAGTCACTTTCTGATAATACCTCAAGATTTCCTTCATCAAGCGAAATCCTTCCACGACGAAGCAAACACGCGGACTGAGACCAATGAACAGAAGTGAATAAAAAATGGCGCTGCGAACTAATGTAACGTCGTATGGTGAGTTTTTGTTCGTATCGTGGAGCAAAAATATGTTCGAATTTCGTGTCGTATCCTGAAAATTTCGTATGCTGGGGCGTTCGTATCCTGAGGTACCACTGTACTGAATAAATTAAAATATGATGATAAAAAAAAATTGCAGCCAGGCATTGTGACAGTCACAATAGGTAATTGTTTGTTGTCTGTCTTTTCTTGGAAGTGTAGTGTTTGTTTTTCTCATATTTACCACAATGTAGCTAGTGTGTCTCTTATCACATCAGATGTTTGTTTTGTACTCATCGTGATATCTTTACACACAATGGACATTCGACACTATTGGACCATTCCTTTATCCATTAATTAGTCCATTATATCAAAAATCAACAGTATATAAATTTAATAATTACTTACCAAGCATTGTTGTGTTGTAAAAAAAATTCTACTTTATTTGGATAATTGTGTTCAAAGTCTTCTGCCGCATTTTTTTCCAACCAGTCGACAATTAACTAAAACAAGAAATACATTTGTGGTATTTAAATTAATGTTCTTTTTTAAAAAACAAATATTGTTTTTGTCACTGTTTGATTACCTGATTCTGGCGAACGGTTGCATCTCTTTCATACAGATATTCAATCACTTGTTTGTCACTCATTCTTTTATACTATATGCAAATACAAAATTATTTTTAAAACATTTTAAATACAGAGCAATTAGTTTGAGATGTCATAAAATTAAAATAATGCAATTATAAGTTTTTAAATGTTACATACATATGTCAGAAGACTGTCAGTTTCAGCTTAAAAGAAACTCAACACTTAACATGGCCACTATAGCAGATGGTGCACAGTTCATACTGGGTGGATGAATAATCAAATCACACTACTGCAATGCCTGCAGTTGCTGCATATGGTATGGAAACATTTTCAACTACTGACATTCCATACAGAACATCAATCCATTGACATGCTGTATGGAATGTGTTCCACTGACAAATAGCACAGCAACTTCTCTGGATTCTGAATACATCTTTCAAATGTTCTCTTTTCTGTTGTACACTCTTCCTCCATGTGAGGCAAATCAGACTTGCTCAGAGGAACTTCTGATACCATTTCACAATGTCACAACATGACGAAACATGGTAACACTTTTAAAAATCACCAGAAATCTCACTGGATACAAGTAACACATCCCCATTTTGCATACCATAGCACTGGGTCCTCTACTGCAATGTGACTGACATTTTGCACTTCCATGCATGTATGCAGCAAAATACTAAAATGAATATGCATTCTCCAAACTGACAACCTTCCAATACATGTATGTAACCTCTAGTTGCATTACTTTATTTTCTATACATTTTTAATTTCATAATATTACAACAGGTCACCATGTACAATCATTTAAGATAAAAAAAATTAACCAGAGTATCCATCATAACTTCTTCATTTCTTAGCATTTCTTCTACTTCTAATCGATCTTGATATAATGTTCTGAGCAACTTCCAAGTGTTTCGTTCATCTCTGAGCATTTCCAATATACTTATCGCACGATGAAATCTGCATATTGTTAAACTTAGAAGTGAGCATTTAAGCAATAATTAAATATCATAATATTCAGTTATATAGGCAACTGCAATGATTACAAGTTGCATACACAGATCAGTTACGCACTTGAAACATGGTTGCAGTACACTTAGAAATTGACAAACTAAATTCTAATAATGATTGATGACTGCTACAATACATAGATACAAAGGTATTTGCTCATTAGCTATACATTTATAACATGTACAAGAGCAACAAACTTTTAGATTTTACTTGCAGTTGCATTCATGCAATACTCAGAGAGCTTTGCTAGTTAACAAGAACAGTTGCAGTTGCTTGCATAACTGAAAATTGCTGCATTAGCATTGCTTTAAGATTCAAAATAACAATTAAAAATGGCCTCACTTGTTATACTTGTTACTTGGAAGTTTCATTGTCATCTTCCTTAAAAAATTCACGTGATTAGAACACAGCTGAAAAGTTAAAATTGCTGTATCAATATTTAATTTAGAAACAGAAATTAAATATTTTTGCTACGTTATGGGGTATTGTATTGCCAACTTACGGACTCATAATCTAATAAGAGTTGGAAAATTTCGTGCATGGCAGGCCTACTTCGAAATGCATCCAGAAATTCTTTGAAGAGAGACAATGTTGCTAAAGCCAAAAATTTCATTCAATTTTAGCAATAAAAAAAAAAAATGAAATTTGAACAATTTTTAAAGTGTAAAACTTCTTTGAAATTTTTACCCTGAAGACCGGGTTCTTCTGCCAAAGCGCAACTGTCAACAGAGAATCTCGTTATATCTCCCATTTCGTCCAGTAGGTCTATCTAATATTTTTAAGACAATATATTAAATTTACATTAAAAATATCATTTTTTAATACTTTCTACTTACAGTTCTATTTCCATCAACAGTCATGTTGAAGGACTTCTCTCCTTTCTCCGAGCGTTCCTTATCACCTTGAACATCAAACAGACTTATGAACGACAATTAATCAAGAATATCAATTTAAACAGTTTCTATCAATAAATATACCTGAACTATCAAGAAAGGTATTTTCTAACTTAGATTTATTTCTCGAGTGGAAGATATTTCTGCTTGGTAGACGATAGCCATCTTCATAAATGGGAGCTAAAGTATAATTTAAAAATCATTTACTTTAAATAAAATTCAATAATGAATATACAGGATTACTACTCAAATTTTTGTTTGAAATTCCGTGACTTTCCTTGACCAATTTTGTATAAATTCCCCGACCCTCACGTCCCTTATAGTATGGCACAATGACAAAAAGAAACAGCATTTGAATTACTATGCAAATATGCTATTGCTTCTTCAATTTTTTAATCAGTTATTTTTTCTAATAAACAGTTACATAATTTTTATAATTTCGAATAATTAAAATTAAAAATAAAATGTTTTATTAAATTAAAACAGAGAAATTAAATTAAAAGAGTTTATCCAGTTATTAATCCACAACTATAAATCTACGTGGCTTTGAAAAAAGAATAAAAAGCCATTATTTATTAAGTAAATGTCTGCAAAAATTGTATTAACATTACACAAAAAAGAGAAAAAACACACCAAGTGATTACAAGGTCTGATTTTGAGTGATATTAAAAACAATCTTACAATGCAATAGAAGAATAAGTCTTGTGTAATAAGACTTATTAAGCACATAAGGAAGCCAGTATTAATTACCATGGCCCAGACCCAACTTGTGTTATTTTAAAATTTCAAGCACAGTAGACCCCCCTATAACACGGGTTCCTATAACGGAGATTCCTATAATGTGGCAAAAAAATTGCAACAGTATTCGTATAAAGATGCTAAAAGGGTCTCATGAAACGTCGTCGCTGACTCGTGTCGCAACAGGATTGGTCGAATCTGGACCAATAGTAGACGAGCAGCCGAACTACTTACACACTACAGAGAGTTTAGACAAGTAAGTTGAGTTTACTATCGTCTGTACAGTATTATATATAAATTAGGTACTGTACATATAATTATATATTAACTTATTTTAACTTTATTATAATTATATATATACTTTCCGCCGTCCAGCGCCACGCTACGGAGAGTTTAGGCGAGTAAGTTGAGTTTACTATCATCTGTACAGTATGTAAATTAGGTACCGTAAGTCTAATACAGTACTGTAATTTTATACATTTCTTGTGAAAGAAACATTTCTTATTCAACAGCCATAAAAATTGTTTATATTAATGATGTCTCCAAAGGTCAACGAATTTTTCGCAGAAAAATAACTTATCAGAAATCGCGGCTGCTGTTTGGTACGCTACTCTGCAACGAAAACAAGCTTAAGAAATGGCAACATCGAACAGTGCACACTCGGTAAGTAATCCTACAATTTTACAACACCTAAAAGTAATCCTACAACATCTAACTGACTGCTGTTAGATGTTGATAAAAGTCATACAAATGATGAAGAAAAACAACAACGGTGCCCTATTGCTTGTGAGCAGTTTAAACAAATCATTTCCAATACTTTTTGATCACAGTAGTATATTTTTCTGTCTATAATTCCTAAAAATAATGTCAGATCTACAGACATAGGGCTCTCTACATGCATTCCTCCTCATCTAATTGTCTTGGCAATTATGTGGGGCAATAAGTTCATTTTTTGTTTGCTTAAATTGTTGATAAAAACCTTTAATTATTTTAACCTTTCATTTTTAAAACTGTTACTTAATTTTAATAATTTGTTTGAGATATTTTTACTTCATTTTTCTACATTTCGTTACCCTTCATTCACTGAACACAGCTTAAACATCTGCAATCTTAAATGGAAACACGACAACTGGACACGCTTAAAAATTTTGCACGTTTAGCAACCATACAATTTGGAGAATATTTTATTTATTTATTGTAAATATTGTTTAAAATAAAAGTATTTAAAATTTCGATACTTTTATCCATTTAAATTTGATAATTTAATTAGAAAGCTTTCTAAAAATAAAAGTATTTAAAATTTCGATACTTTTATCCATTTAAATTTGATAATTTAATTAGAAAGCTTTCTAATTTTCGTCTTTATGTAACGAGAAGAGAATAATTCGCCTTAGTACAGAGCTCGTTAACCTTTTTTTGTTGTTAAAAAAGGATATTTATGGAAAGTTTCACTTGGTAAATGTCGCAGTTTGCAGCAATATTTACTTAATGTATAACAACAACATGATGTACTGTACAGTACACTAAACGAGTCTTCGTTTCTTGAACTTTAAAAACAATAAAGTAGAATAGAAACTCATTTTTCTTTAATTCTGTATTAATATAAAAATAAAAACATTCTAATTAATTAATTAAACAATTAAAATTATTTAAAAAAATCTACGTTTTATCATTATTGAAATAGAACTGATTCCATGAATGTCCACCCCCAAAACTGGACAATGAACTTGTCTATACTGTAATTAGTACATTGTATAGGGTCAATATCAAAAACAACTATAATATGCTTAATATTTCCACCATTTTTCTTCAATTTAAATGTATAATTGCAAATTAAACATTCCTTTGTGATAAATTTGTCTGCTGAATCTCCTGAGTTGTTTTTATATATAATAATAGAGCATAGTATACAGTGGAATGATGCTGTGCATAAAAAAAAAAAATATATGTAAAATATTTAAAATTTCTTTCAGTTTAAATTGAATTTGAACAGAATTTTTTACATTTACTCCTAAATAAAATTTATTTTATGTTGCACTCTGGTGTCCTTTACTCTTTACTTCTAGACTATATAAAAAATGAAGAAGTTAATATTTATGTATTTTTCATATTGTTAAAGAAAAAATCATTTTAGAATATAATGTACAGAATTTGTGTGTGTAAAATATTATAAAACATCTAATCAAAAGTTACTTTGTTTAATTAGCTAAAATTTTTAAAGAAAAAGTCATTATAATAAAATTTAACATAAAGATATAGTACAGTATCAATTTTATATAGCTGTATTGGTTTTGCTAGCCATCTTATCTATATGTTTTTTTTCATTTTCTACATAAATTTTGACATTTTCCCCCATATTTTTCTAAATACATTGACAGATAAAATAATAAATCAGCTTTTGATAATTATAAGTTTTGATATAAGGCAGAGTTGACAAATTTTCTCACTCACAATTTTCCAAAATGAATTTTCATCTGTTAAGTGTGGCCTCTGAGGAGATTACACCATATTAGATCTGCATCTAATCCATCATCCAGTGAATTTATCATAAAAATATTCTATAACAGAAAGATTCGGGATACAATCTCATGCATAGAAAATCTATAATCTCTGTATATACAAATAATTATAGTGTCATCTCTTTAAATATGTATATTCTATAGTATATAAATTACTTTTAAACAGATTAAAAATATATATATATATAATAATTGCTTAATTCATCAATTAATAAAATTGNAGCAACCATACAATTTGGAGAATATTTTATTTATTTATTGTAAATATTGGTAATATATATATAAATATAAATATGGTTAAGACTTATGAGATACGAGTTACAAGTTATTTCCAACTTAAGAAAAGGAAATATTTGGGAATTATGTAATGTAGCGGCATTAATTAGCTTACTGTATGTCAGAAGCGGTTAACAAAGCACATGAAATATAAAAAGTTCTTCGAAAACAAATTCTTTAGAGGAACTTTTATACTTTTTTGTTTTAATTTATATTGTATTTAACATATAATGTAATGTACTTTTAGTTTTATGTAACTGTTGTCTTGTTTTTGTGTATTTGTTAATTTTGGAGTTATATATCAACCGTCCTTAGTCTTTTCTATTTGCTTGTAAAAATAAAATAAATAAATAAAAGTATATAATATGTAAAAATATATTTGTTAATTACAAAATTGTTCTTTTAACTCGTTTCTTAAAAATATTATTGAAATTTACTAGAATCAATAGAAAGGAATAATGATTTTTATAATAAAAATAATAAGAATTTTGTATTTTGTCTACTATTGATCTCTTATTTTTGTTGCACAGATGTCCAGCACCCAGTTAGCAGTAGCCCAGTCGAGCATTGCCTAGTTGACGATATCCCATCTTAAATGTCACAAATATTAAGATATAACAAACAGGCAATAATTAATTACTTACATTCTGACAAGTTTCCAAAAAGTCTACTCGATCCAGAATCCACATTCATCCTTCCTGAATAACTGAAATAAATGATATGTTAATTATCATTATTGCTATTTAAAGTTAATATTTAAAAAATATCTTTTGGTGATTAATTTTTTATCAATCATATCAGTTCTGCAATAACTATGTTGGGATGTTTTAAGAATGGTATCAACCTTTCTTTGAGCCTATTTGGCTCAAAGAAAGGTTGATACCATTCTTAAAACTCACTGTATCACTGTATTTCAATGATTGTGAACAGATGTGCCAAAGACTAAGTACAAAAAGTATTTCTTTTGTATTTAGTCTTTGACATTGTAAATTTGATTACTTTATTTCTATGTAGAATTAAGTTTTAGGTAATTTATGTGTATATACATATTTATTAGGGCAAGTCAAATGAAAGTGAGCCAGCATAGTTTATTTGCAAATTGTTACCTGTAACTTAAAAGTAATGAGCATCACCATTGAGACATTTGTCTCACTGGATAATGAGCCTGGTATTGTCATGCTCAAAGAATGGAAGTGAATGGCCATATCCCACACATATGCATCTGAGACAAAACTGCAACCTTAAGATGCTTCTTTAATAATTCACCAAACGTATGTAAGTCACATGATGAAAGCCCAGACTATAGGATGAAACCATGCAATTACTCTGCACAGCAATCAAGAACAAGTGCATTGTCAGACATTATAATTTGCTTGCATAAAAATACAAGACCACATGTTGTCACATGAAAAGCTTGAAAACTTCAAAAGGAAAATTCTGCAGCACCCACCCTACATTTTGAACTTTTCACCCTGCAACTTTCATGAGTTCAGTGAATTAGTGAAGAAGTATCTGAAGAGTCAGTTTTGCCTTTGATGCAAATATGCAAGATTTTCTGAAGCAGAAACCAAGAAATTCTACAAGCAAAGAATCATTGGGCTTGTTACCCAGTAGGACAAATGTCGCAATGCTAGTGGTCGTTAATTTTAACTTGTATGTAACAATTTTTGAATAAATTACATTGGTTTATTTTCATTTGACTTGGCCTAATACAAATTATCTAAAGGCAACTTCCTATTATACTGCTGTCTGCAACTTCTGTACTGCTGTCAGCAGAAATGATTGTTTTTTCTTTTTAGAAACAGTTGAGTCAGAGTAAAAATCTTAAGTTTCACTTTAAGCTGGGCAAAAATACCATCAAAGTATCATGACACAAACAGTTACAGTGAACTTATATTGTTACAGCATTATCAGATACACATGAATTCAAATGATATAGACTTTTTTCAGGTAAAAAAACAGATAAGTCAAACTGACCTTTCACTTTACTTAAGGCCAAAAATGTTCATCAAACATGTAGTTCATCTCATCACTATTAAATAATTAAGGGTATGATTATACCTTTGAATGAGACAATCGGGACCTTATCAGAGCCATAGACCATACTGATGCAGAGTATGGAGAGTAGGCAGCATACCAGTTCACCATAAAAACAGACCTTTCGAAGTAAATATTTTGTCAAGGGTCACATGTACAGGTATGGTTACATTAACTTTTTTCCTCATTCCTCATTTTTATAACTCTGGGGGTGGTAAATCCCTCATTCAAAGTTCACATCTAATCCTCAAAGGGTCACAATTAGAGATATGGTTCCTTTGACTTTTTTGGATGTCTGCAAGTGTAAAATTCAAGGATCCAAACCCTCATCTCATTCAGAACTATAATTTTATCTTGTAATCTATCCAAATATGTACAATATATAATCAATCAACAAGATGTAAACATAGTTAATTTAATCAATAACAAAGCAATGAAGTAACTATAACATTTACAAAATAAATAAAACATTTATGTACATTCATACTTGCCAACCTTAAGAATGGGAAATAGCTGGGACATTGATAGAAAAACATTGATTTTTGAATAAAAATGCCGACAACATAAAAAGTGAAGAAATTCTTTATTAACATCGATATTGCACAATGCTTATATTAAATACCTTTAATAAACAAAATTTAATGTTATCTCTGCATATGATAGCTTATAAAGCTATTTCCATAAACACTGTCAAGAGTATGGCAATAGCTTTATACTCTTTAACATCACAATTTAAGCAAGGTCAAATATTTTATGAGCCATATCATAAATCTACACCCAGATTTATGATGTGTCATGAATCTTGATATCGCATGATGAGTGCCTCCTGCCTTTGTACAATGTTTTGCTTTGTTAATAATTATTTTGTTACAGTACAATGTACTCATGATGTTGCTATCAATCAGTTTATTGACTTTTGCTGCAATTATTAAGGACAATAATTTTGCTGGTTATTTATTTCCTATCTCTGTCCTTATCATACTGAATATCTTTTCCTTTTGCCACACGGTAATGCAGGAGGCACTGCAATGCTGTATGGTAAAACCATCAGCAGCCTTACTATTTTGCAGATTACAAATCATTCTAAAATATTAAGGATGATGATGGTTCTTTTCTTGAAAAAGTTCATATCATACGGTCTGTATATTCTTAAGCGATGAATCAAATGTTTATTCCTTTTTGGGCAGAGAAGCTGTAACGCTGCTTAATAATTTAGTATAACTGTAAAAGTAACTAATTTCCTTCTGCCGATAAGTCGGCCATAATTAATTTAACCACCAACACGATGGCACTAAAGTTGCCAGAATTGAAGATGCAGCTTATCTCATCTGCCATTTAAAATTATCACATTTGAACTAAAATTCTCATACATATATTAGCATACATAATTAAAAATATTAATATTGGTTTTTTTTCCCAATTGATGGAATTTCATAACATTGTTCTGGTTTGCTTCAGTTGTTCATAATAAAATACAGGTATCCCTCATATAACACGATAATTACATTATCAAAAAGTGCCATGTTATGCAATTTCGTGCTATACGAAACAAAGGACTAATGCAAAACATGGACTTACATTCTAGAAAAGTCTACTATTCTTTTACATTACTAAAAGAAATATGTTTATTAAAACAATTTATAATTAATTTCCAATCAATAATTAATTAACAATCACAATTAAAAGTACTGTATTATGTGTTAATATTAATTTTAGTTAAACAATGGCATTTTCTTTTTACAAAGTATCATTGTCATCTCAGGTTTTTTTGTTGATCTTGATCAGAAGTATCAGCAATATCTTCACATTTTTTTAATTTTTATTATAAAAGATTTTAGAGATGACAAAATAAAAATATTTTATTTATCAAAAATTTGTTCTAGTGGGTCACGTTTGTTCAGTCGAGTACNAATACAAGTCTCCCCCCCTATAACACGGTTGATAATTCCATTTTATATGAATTCCATGTTGTATGAGTCACTTAAATTTTACAAATACGTGTGCCGGGCTGTGAATGGCTCATGTATTTGTAAAATCTAAGTGACTCGTACAACATGGAATTCATATAAAATGGAATTATCAACAGTGTTATGGGGGGGGTCGACTGTATAATGAATTATCTGATTTTTAATTGCTAGAGAATTTTGTGAGATAGAAGAAAATTTTATATCATCACAAGTTTCTAGTGTAAATCAGAATAATACAAAGTACTAGTATAATTGTTGTTTATTAAATGTTTTATTAGATGAACATTTTTGAAGTACAGATATCTCTTATATAACATGGTAGTTAACTTCTGAAAAAAGTGTCATGTTTTGCAAATCCTTGCTACATGAAACAAAGGACAAATGCAAAAGTATACTATTCCTTTCCTTTATTAAGAGAAATATGTTTATTAAAGCAATTGGTAACTTATTTCCAATTAACGATATAATTAATTAACAATCACAATTGAAAGTACAATATTAATTTTAGTTAAACAAGGGCATTTTCTTCTTACAAGTATATCATTGTCATCTCAGATTTTTTGCTGATATTGATCAGAAGTATCAACAACATTTTCATATTTTTTTTTATTTTTACCATAAAATTTTTTATGGATGACAAAATAAAAATATTTTATTTATCAAAAATTTGTTCTAGTGGGTCACGTTTGTTCAGTCGAGTACAAGCGATTATTTTCTAGAATTTGTGTTTGAATACCAAATTGTTCAAGTACCGAGTTACCACTGTATTTTGTTCATCATATTTACAAATGAAGTAATCATTTGTAGGTAATACCTACAGGTAAAAAAAGTTTAACAACACTTACCTAAAAATGTTTCAATAAACTTTACTAAATATAAAGATTAATCCATAAAAAGAAAACACAGTGACAGTCTTAAGGGCTAAAGTCTGAAAGCAACAATACTACCACCACCCCCAGGTTGATAGGACATTTAGTGCAATGTTTTTCTTCCTTGTCCTGTCAGTTTTCATTAAAGTAAATCTGACGAAAAGCACAAAATAATTTGAAAATTTCAATATTCTAAAATCTACAGGCAAACTTGGGATGACACATGCATGTTTACTTGAATAAAAAAAAATATCAAATAACAAAATTTACACTTAAAAATTGTGGCATTTTGTACACAGGATTTCACAAATTCTCGAACAGTGTTAGAGCAAAACCGGAAGTCGTGTCGTGCGGGGGATATCCCCAATATTCAAACCATGTTAGAGCAAAACAGTGTTATAGAAGTACTGTGTTGTACGAGGAATACCCATATATATTCTTTTTCTTTATGGTTCATATACCCCGTGTTTCTTTATGCAGCGAGAGTGTAGCAAAATGACGTCACGAGAAGTGTTGGCCAATTACAAACCAGTTTCAGTGTGTTCGCTGTAAAGCACTTCTCGAGCGCAGCATAAAGAAATGAGGGGATACAGAAGCAGCCTGTGTGACATTTCTCCGACAGAGCAGCGACGGTAGTATCCGACGGGCCAGCCGAAGCTTATTGCTTGGACATATGCAGGAAACGGAGAATATGCCTTTCGGGAGGTCTTTTAAGAGTAACTGGCCGCTATTCAGGCGTTACAGACGTGGAGAAAACCCGGAAAACTACACGTGGAGTTTTTCGATCGTGGGTGGCGAGGCGCGAACCCACAACCGAACTCCCAGTGTTCAGGAAACGAAACCGCTTACTACTGGTGAGTCCGGCGTATATATTAGTGTTAGACTCATTAAATAGTGTTTATACGATAATATCAAATTCTTTAAACACGTTGACAAAAGAGAAAAACGCCCTGTCCACAGACTGAGCATACAAAACGATGATGGTTGGCAACTATATACATTATCTAGAATATAAATAGAAAAGCTCGATACCTAGCTCTGTCTGACATGTCCTTCTTCAAAGGCAACAAGCCTAAGTTTGTTTTTGAATTTCAGACCAAAGAGCCATGTGTAATGGGAACAGTGTTGCCAGATCGTCGTAGGGAAATTTGGAAATTTTTTAATTTAAATAATAAAGATCTTACATTTTTAAAACTATATAATCTTCTTTTTCTATTATTTTTCATTTTTATTTTTGAAATGTTATAGGATATAATCTCAAGAGTAAAAAAAAAAAAAATTCGTTTCCCTCGAGAATCGAATCCGCGACGATTTTTTCTTCTTGACGTTCTTAAAAATCTATTAATGAATAGATTTGATTTTCCGCTCATAGTTAATTTATATTAATTTGTTCATTAACTTTCATTTCTATTTGTGTCATTTTTTTTTCTGTACTGTAGACACTATAAGAAGACCTTTTCATATTCATTGTATGTTCGGACACGACTACAGTACAGCTGGATAGTGAGGGAAGAGGCCCGTCGTGTTGACCATCTATGAAAATTTCCTGGAAGATTGCTCGCCCAGTGTCCCCCAGGGAGGTAGGCTGACGTTTTAGGCCTGTTTCGTACGATCCGATGTTTGTCCGGACAGATAAATCTTGGCCTTTGAATGTCAGGCGGCTGAATTTCAAAACATGAGACTTCACACTACAAGTGTCCGTGTAGTGTGAAAAGTGTCCCAACTGGCAACCGGAGTAAATGCGTATCTTCAAATGGACAGGTAAATGGCTACGAAAGCGGCCTTAACTGCATCAGCCAAACGGCTAGCATAAGAATAATTGGATAGTGAGGGATCAAAGTTCTAGACATACCGTGCATTGAAAATTCTTTGGGTTTAACGCCTGCATTCGATTCCAGATCCCAAAAAAGCAAGCTAACACTTTTATCTTACCAATCATCCGTCCATCTGATGTTAAGTATCATTTGTTAAATAAGTTAAAAACAGAATCCCATATCCTATGTATTAAAAAAATCTAACAGTGAGTTTCTTAACTTTTCCGGCAACATTTAAAACTGTGTGTGGCGCCATCAGTTACGATATTTTATTTAGAAACTTTTTATATAATTACTTATTATAAAATGGCAAAAAAATTTAATTTTGAGAGTAGGGACCAGTTTTGTTATAAAAAAAAATTGTAAATGCTAATAATAACAAGTAAAATCTTCATTAAGTCCGATCTAATTTTTGATACATTCATTCATTCATTTTGTTTTATTGGTACAAAAATAATTGTACATTCCCTGGTCCCGCTACACGCATTACCAGGGATAGAGTATATACAATATTAAGTGAATATTAAATTAAGAAGTAATACAGAAATAAATGCAGATGATGAAATAAGTAAGATAAAATAAATTAATAAATAAACAATAAACAATAATAAATAAAATAATAAAAATAAAACAAATAAACATAACAAAGTTTATGTTATGTTATGTTATGTTTTTGTTACAAACTTATATTACGTATAATATAAGTTTGTAACAAAAGTAAACACGTGCTATCAACAATCACATTAAAAATCACACGACGTGACAAAAACCGAATCAATTACACATAGAATAAAAATACATGTAATAAAAACAAAATTAAAATAACATTAAATCAAATACAAAGCAACTAGCGCGTAAACACATTACATGTAAGGATGCAACAACAACCAATCTGCATAATATTAGAACTGGATGAGAAAAAGTATATATATATTATATTATACAACAGAAATGCACGTGTAGATGCTACAAATTTCATTAAATAACCAGGGGCCAAGACAATTAATTGTAGATAGAGTTGTGAGTTACAGTATTGATATGCCTAGCAAGTCTCTTAAAAGCATAATATATTTCCTTTGTACGCCAAATATCAGAAGGGTTGCAAGGCCACATAATTCCCAGTTCCTGTAATAGTAATTGAATCTCAAGGCGTGAGCTATCAAAAATCATACAGTCAAAAAGATAATGTATTGCACCATCTTCCACACCACAGGCTTGACAAAGTCTGGAATTCCTATTAGTAAATCGAGCAAGATAACTTGCATATTTACCGTGATTGGTAAAAATTTGTGAAGTGTAGTAATCAGGAGTGTACCAATTAATCTTGAGAAACTGCAGAAGATCCGGAATGAAACTGAAGGTAATATGTTGTCTGTTCTGGTTCCACATATTCTGCCAGAGTTGTATTGTGTCTAACCATAGAAGATGACGTAACGAACGTTTGCTAATTTTGTTATAAGATATTGAGAGTGAGTCATTCATAGCAGCTTCTTTAGCCAGGGAGTCAGCTCTCTCATTCCCCAGCACTCCCTGATGAGCCCTAATCCATGTGATAGTGAACACACAGTGGGAAGCCAAAATAGCCCTGTTAATATGTTGAGCTAGTGGATGCAGATTGTTATTCTGAAGGAGATTATAAACAGACATAGAGTCTGTATGGATATGAACATGAAGAGTATTATAATTATGATTGATATAGTCGATAGCCATCCCAATAGCAAATAACTCAGCTTGAAAAACAGTACATCTACAGTCAAGCCGATACATTTGATGTACAACTTCAGAATTATTAAGATATATAACAAAACTACACCCAACCTTATCGTTAATGTGTGAGCCATCAGTATATACGTCAACATCAGCACTGTATAAACTAGTAAAACTACAACCAGAAGTTCTGTCTGGTGAAAAAGTTTCTGTATACGGTATTGGCCACTCAATGTCATTATAACTAAGTGTACAATTTGAGATCTGAATTGTCTGTCCCCATTTAAGATGTTGGAACTGTAGTTTTTGCAATATAGCAAGATCTATAGGTGGCTTTTTAGCTAATACCTGTAAACAGCAATTACTCACAGTCCTGTATGCCTTGGTGATAAGAAGAAGTGCGCGTCTCTGAGAAGATAAAAGCTTTCTTTTTGATACAGTCGACTCCCCAATAACACTGTTGATAATTCCGTTTTATATGAATTCCATGTTATACGAGTCACTTAGATTTTACAAATACGTGTGCCGGGGTGTGAACGGCTCAGGTATGAAGCCTTTTTCATCTTTGTCAGTGATGTCTAATGAATCTGTTTCTAAAAAAGTTGGATGCATAATTTTTTCAAAAATTAATTGCGCGATGGCTATTCTAGGTTCAAAAATAATAATTTCTGGTCCAAAGTTATACATTAGGACTCCAATGTTTCCACGATAGACGCAATAGATAACTCCCGCATTAATTTAGAGATAAAGCATATTTTTGAGCAATTCTAGCATAACAGTTATCTGGCATTTCTATAGCCAGATCTGTAAATATTACTTTTTGTTCATTTGGATTCATTTCGAAGTCATTAACACAAAATATATCATGTTCAGCTGCTCCTGTAGAATACTTTTTCGGAATTTTCACAGAATATTTTATTTTTTAGAAAATAAAATATTTAATTACATTTCATGCAATTACATTTTATAAAATATTTATTGAATATCGGTAATGTTATTTTATTGTTTCTTATGAAAAATTTACATTCATATATTTTATTATTTGGCAAATTTAACAATGCTGCTTTATTACACCTCTATTTTAAACACGGATAAGTTTTACTACAAATGCTATGTATTACATAAGTATGTTTTCTTTTATATCCTATTAAAAAGCCATATTGCAAACATTTATACAGTATGTAACTTCAAGGTTACAATACTAGTTTATGTCCCCTTAGGCAAATTCCACCCTTTTCCACGAATCACCTTTTCCACTAATATAATCCACACCCTTGCTAGATTAAATTAAATAGTTTTAATTTGAAAAATGATGTCACCTTGTTATGTCAAATTAAATATTTTAAAATTCTTTCCTGATACAATCTAGTTAAAGATACAATATAGTTTTGGTTTTGTTTTTCTAATTTGTCGATCAAGGTTAAAAAACTGGTATTTCAAGGTAACCACCGGCCTGGCCGGGCCGAGTTGACCCAATTTAGCTGGAAAATTAATTATTCTAACCGGTTTGGACCGGTTAGTTCCAGGAAGTCAACCCACAGAAGAATTTAATTTACCTGAGAGAACTAAGGGAGTTCCCTTAACGTAAGGGAGTTTCCGGTGGTTACCTTGAAATACTAGTTTATATAGTGCGCCAGCACACTTCACAATAGGTCTTCTGCCAGAATCTCCATTATAACAACTAACTAATCATGTCTTCCGAAGGTGGTAAGTATTATTAATATTAATAATAATATTATTATTTTAAAATATTTTAAAATAATTTAATAAATATAATATTAATTTTAGAGTGTGAATTTGATTTTAATATGAAACAGAGTGTTGGTAAAAAAAGGAGGCCAAAACCTAAAAATACCGAAGATCCCCAGTCGAAAAAGCAAAAGTTTGATTTAGACCTATCTGTAGATAAGGCCAAATCTTCGAAAATTCGCCCGTTTAGAATCAAGATATGCGATAATCAAATTATGGAGATCATAGAACGCCAGTCTACTTCGTATGTCTCGTTAACAAAAATGAAAGGAAACTATCTGTTTAACAAATATAATATTAATGTTAAGGACTTTAAATTTTATAAGAAAGCCTTCGATGCAATGAACGAACATTTAAACAAAAATGTTTAATTTTATTTCAAAGAAAAACGCTTTCAGAGGATATGCCAAAACTTATAAAGTGCTTATTTTAGAAAATATTGATCCTGCTGTCTTTTTTTGAAAATATAACTTCTAGTGTTTGTAATATTTTAGCTAATGATAATTTTGAAATTATTATTTTTGAACCTGGAACAGCCATAGCGCAATTAATTTTTGAAAAAATTATGCATCCAACTTTTATAGAAACAGATTCATTAAACATCACTAACAGAGATGAAAAGACTTCAGAGAATGTAGAGAAAATTAACTTGTAATGTACTCAATTATTATTTTATATGTACTCAACTATTGTATATGTACTCATATATTATTTTATATGTGTGTACCCAAATATTACTTTGTATTTAATTTTAAAATCTGTATTCAAATAAACAAATATTATAAAAGAATTGTTCCTTTCTTTTTAGACAATATAAAAAAATTTAAAATACCAACAATTAAAAAACACAACTTTACGCGAATTAAAAGATGACCTAAACTGGAATTTTGTTTCTCGCTACCAAAAACTTGACCAACAATTTATCGACGATTTCCAATGTCAACTTTCTTGGTGTCGTATTATAAAATATCAAAAATTAGATCGAGATTATATCGTTTGCAATAGCAAAAATATATTGCTGTTCTTACTTGAAGAAATATGTCTTGCTTTAGATAAACTGAAGGAAAAACTGGAAACACTTAAACAAACTGTATTCATGTAATGTAAAAAAAAGAAATTTAGTGTTATATTATTTCAAATTACCATTCACTTTTGGAAAAACTTTAACTCCTTATTCACAAATTTTAAAAATTAATTTTGTGATTAGTGCCACTCATTACACTACTACTGACACACGATCCTCTTATATCTCGCCACCCCCTTGATATTTAATCACCAAAATTTAATAGCATCAATTCAGTGCCGGCCCGAGGCAAGTTTCAGGATGGAGCGAGATTCTGTTATGGCGCCCCCTTGGTTGCCCCTAATTTATACCCTTTAATTTTCTTTACCACTGAGGCGCCCCCTAGGACTTAGCGCCTGGAGCGGCTGCTCCGTTCGTCCTATGGTAGGGCCGGCTCTGCATCAATTCTCCTAAAACAAAAACTTCCGCGCAAAATTTCAGAAATTTTCAACAAAAGACACCAGAATTAGGGTATGTTCGTAAAGTCAAACGAATTAAATGCGTTACTAACGAATACAGTAGTTAGAAAAGTAGTAGTCTCGTCCAGTGCACATGCTTTGCGGTGATCACGTTTCGAACGAAACTCTAACGAAGTTCACGAAGGAAAGAGTTAGTTTACTTCGTTAAGAAAATGGCGCCCGACGATATCGATGTTTCTAAATCTACTCGAGTGTTTAAATTGTGAATTAAAAGGTGAAATAATTAAAATAACTGTCCACCCGAAGCAATGTAAGAAAAATATTTCGGATAAGGCTGCATTAACAACATTCGTATCTTCGATTTTAGAAACATCCATTTAGTTATAAACGAATCGTTCGAAAAGTCTAACTAAATAAGAATAACGATGACGTCATTCTCGTTTAACTCGTTCGACTTTACGAACGTACCNTAAGAAAAATATTTCGGATAAGGCTGCATTAACAACATTCGTATCTTCGATTTTAGAAACATCCATTTAGTTATAAACGAATCGTTCGAAAAGTCTAACTAAATAAGAATAACGATGACGTCATTCTCGTTTAACTCGTTCGACTTTACGAACGTATCCTTATTAAGTTTCAAAGTGGGTGAACAAAGTCGTGCCTTCACACACATACACATTTATCGTAGCCAGACGTAAACCCAGTCACAAAACATTTATTCGGCATGCTGTTGTTTCTTTTTCTCGTAGAAAAAAATATAAAAATGATTGAAAATGGCAAAACTATCTACTAACCAAATAGATAAACCAACTCGCCGCGTTGCGACTCGATCGCCAGCTATCGGCAACCTGACACATTAACTCTACTTTAGAACATAGGTGAGAGACCAGTATATATAAGACTAAATCGTAAGTATTTAGAAAGGTTTTTAATTAATTATTTCCGAAATAAAAATTAAAAAAAAAAAACTTTCTCTGAATGAGAAGCGATAGACAATATTTGACTTCGTAATAAACTTTTCAAAATTACTAATTAATTAATAAAAATAGAAAAATAAATCGTAAATAAGTCTAATATATTTTTTAACGTCAGTCGTATAATATTTAATTTGATGTTGTTTTTATTCTTTTAAATTTATTCGGCATTATTTTCTGATTTGAAAGCGCCTCTAGCGAGTATAATTCGAAACTAGTTTTTTTTTTTTTAATGGGGTGATGACGCCATAAGATGGCGAAGCAGTTAGTAAACGTAAACATAAGACGAAATTGGTAATTTAAAGACAATTACAGTTTGGAAATTTAATGAAATAACTAATTTTCAACTCTAAGAAACGAAAGAAAAGGCCAGTTTATAGTTTAAAGGTAAAAATTAATTATTTTTTACGATATTTGTGTCAGATGTTTCCTGGTAAATTAGTTCCAAAATTATAAATAATTTGACGTTTTAAATAAAACAACTACTCGAAAATACTTAAAATATGGCAAATAATGCAGAAAATAAGGGTAAGATTTACCCTCCGAATGAGGGGGGCGCCACCCCCCTCATTAGGAAGCTCTTAAGCTATATAATGCATGAACAAATTATAGCTTCAGGGTATGTATTTTCTGCCTTGAAACTGTATAATGAATGTTACATTATTGTTTCAAGGCATTATGTAGGTACACATGTTTCGTGTATGACAACACACTATAGTCTGTTGTAATGCATGAAGTGTTGGGTGTGTTGCTTAATAAAGTGGTTTAATACAGTTGGATAAGCAAGCCAATGTTGTAGTCTGTGTCATATAAAGCAGACTGTACCATTGGCTTGCTTGTACTAAAATCATCTTACTAGGCAATGCAATGAGTGAGATTCTAGCTCTGAGCGAGAGGGAATGCTCGGTAAAGTGTTTACTCGACGTCCTTAAGTTATATACTGTTGTACCCTTTACTTAGTGCCTTGCGAGCATCGAAGGACCGAATTGAAAGCACCTGTTAAAAGTTCCCGAGGCTATTTGTCATGTCTCCTTGTCTTATGTTTGGGGATCGACGTATCTAGGTTAAATCGTCCATGAAGGTTTATATGGTGGTTTTGATTTGTTTTGACTTGGGTCTGTCCAGAGTTACATACATACATACATAAGAAAGACTTCAGCCATACACAAAGCATTTAGCTGGTAGAAAAGAGGGTAAGGGAAAGGGGGAAGAAGGAGGGAGAGGAGATAGACAGTAGAGAAAGGTAGGATTCCTCTGAATGGCATACATATGGCTACAGAAACCTCAGAGTGACAGGCAAACATTTTTTATAACCTTGACCATTTTTCCATTTAGCCTGCCTTTATTAAAATATTATAATGTATTAAAATGCAATTGGACATTTACAAAAAGATTAATTATGACTGAATGGGAATCTGACATTACATTGATGTAGCATAATTGATAATGTGATAATCTTCTAGATTTATTGTGATTTTTTGAGATGTCAAGCATCTCGAAGGTGGTCTCTGTAGAGATTTTTGACTTCTCTTTGGATAATTCCAAGTTTATGTTCAGTTTTTGGCTGAGAGGACTCATCTTTGTTCCTTCTGTAGGTTTTACTTTGTATGTAGGAAATTGCAACTTTGTTTTCTTTTTTTGTTCCAGAGACATGCTCATGCTGATCTCCTTGATGGCATTCTAGTCAGGAGTGTGAGTCAGACATTTAAATCTTACACTGTGTTTCTGTCCTAGATGTCTTCTAAATTGAGTTGTGTTAAAAATTTATGTAACTACAGTAGAGCATCGATTATCCGACCCCCGATTAACCGTCACCTCAGTTAACCGACCGCGTTCTAATCGGCAAATTCAAATGTTCGCTAGTGATATGGCGCTACAATATTTGGCTATGTCTTGGCTACTTTAATATTATTTTTGTTAAATTTTTGTGTGTTTTAGCTGGCAACACTGGCTCAACCATGAAAGGGAGGCCAGTATTTAAACGAGGCTTAATTTTCTAATTATGAGTGGTTGTTTGTTTTGTGAGCAATAAAATAATTTTTATCGATACAATAGCGACAATTATTATTTAAAAAAAAAATTGATAGGCTTAACATGGAGGAAAATTCAACGCGATATACTAATATACTAATTACATTGATATAATAATATACTACACTAATAATGGATTTTTTCATACTTTTCGGTTATCCGACTTTTCAATTATCCGACCAACCCTTGTCCCCAATTGAGTCGGGTAATCGATGCTCTACTGTATTATATTTCTCGATAGTCCATAGCACAATTCAGAGCTAAATATATTTTTATAGTTAGCTTCTATGTTATTGGGTTAAATTGTTATCTCAATATATATAATTTGATGCATTTTTATAAATTTAAAGTTTTTTCTTCCTAAAGTCTCTAATCTATATATAATAATTGAGTGAGTAACTTATTAATAAAATAGTAACTGCACTTCTGAAAAAAAAAATCACGATTTAGGTATAAAAATATATATTTACGTTCAGTGTATTAATTTAACTTATTATATTAAATTCATATAATGAATTTTATGATAGATAGAAATAGTAAGATTGTTAACATCTTTGATCTCTTTAAAAGCTGTAAAAAATAATCTCTCTGCATATTTGAGGATTGAGCAGTTATGGCACAGAAGCAACACCCCTTTCACAATTGATAACAAACAGTATATACTGATTCAACTCTGACTTTTCCTTACCATCCGACTCTGACCAGGGCAGACTTGTTACCAAAAGAGACCTGGAAATTCTGATGTCATCACGTGACTTCAGAATAAAAGATTCGATAAATAGAGTTCTAATAAAGATAGAACGTAGAAAATTTTTATTCCAAAGCTAAAAGACTCCTCTAAGTAATGATACAGTCAATATATAAATATGTATTCAATAATTTTTACTTTTCCGGCTGTTATATATAACAGAGGAAAAGTGTAGTGCTCGGACAAAAAATGACCCCTCCCAAATTTTTACGTTTTTGGACTTGGGACACCTTGAAATTTCAGATATGCAAAAGATTTGAGATTTTTTTCTATATGTGTGGATGTTAGACTGTGTGTGGGGCATGATTTTGTTCACCTGTTTGAAGCCTAATAATTTCTGTGGTTTTAAAATCAGAATCAGATGGTTTAACACAGGAGTTAGTTATTAAGCGTCAAAGTGGTTGAACTAAATCCTGTCCCCATACACATTCTAACATCTTAGGCGAGAACATCTTAATGGAAACCCATTAAGATGTTTTACTGTACTATTATAAAATGACAAAAAAGCTTACTTTGAGGGTAGAGACGAGTTTTATTTTATTTTTTTTAATTTTGAACGCTAATAATGAGTAAAATATTCATTAAGAGATATGACACGTGACCACTTTTATATCTTCACCCTGTTGACCTTTAATTAAGAACCAAAATTTAATAGTATTAATGCCTCTTTATACGCAAGCTACAGTGCCACATTTCGTTTCTTAAACTTTACCCATTCCAAGATATTGTTTAATATCTCGGAATGGGTTAAGTTAATCTTTATTTTCTGTACTGAGATATTGTTTAATATCTCAGAATGATAACAAACAGTATGTACTGACTCGACTCTGACTTTTCCTTATCATCCGACTCTGACCAGATTCTGTTCTGAGATATTGTTTAATATCTCAGAACAGGAAATAAAGAAATTAAACAAATTAGATGATAACACATACACGCGCACAAATTTTTTCCCTTTTATTGACTATTTGGGGGGTTCAGGAGATCTCCAAACATGTAGATTTGCAAAAAAAAAATTTAGAGTCAAATTTGACATGATTCCAATACTTTTTCATTTTATATACATGACAAGTTGGGGAGTAAAAAGGAGTCGGAGTCGGCGGATTTTTTGACAACTATGACTCTGGCTAAAACACCAAAACTCCACGACTCCGACTCCACAGCCCTGGGAACTTAAAAGATATTCTAAGTATAATATAATTATTTATGCTATCAGTCAATAGGTGTGTAAAATGAGTCTATATATGCAATTGTGTTATATGGTTGTTCCAATTACAGAATATTTTGACTGTAGGATCACATGTGAATCAGATACAGTGTAGCCTCCCCAAAATAAAAATGCAACAACACAATAATTTGATTTGGAACATGAGATTTCTTGACCATTAAGATTTGAAAATGACTATCCAAGGCTTTTTTTAATGATTTTAAATGCCAAAATGGAAGCAGATTTAAGAAAAACTTGGGGAATAAACTAAAATTTGTGCAAGGTAGGGAGCATACAGTTAACTTGTAATTGTCTTACATAGAGACTTTGTGGTCACATTGTCAGTGGGGCTACATTAACATGTGAATATAACCTGCCAGGGCCTTGTTTACTGCTCATTACTAATATTTTTCTTTTACATCTGTATAATGCCTATAATTCATCTAAAAAAAATTGTGACAATGCCGAAGGGCCTCCCTATACTTCGGCACCACGTGACCAAAGGGTTGACATCGTGTCGGCGAAGATCGCAATGACAAGTTTCGTCAGGAATGACACCACTGTGTCTTTACGGACAGACACAGAAACTGTTATGTTCTAGCGCGAACGATCGCGTGTGTGAGCAAACGGATTTGGGATGGAGGGAGAGACAGTGCATTGGAAGTGACCTACTCAGAGATGGGTTAACATAACAACTATTTAATTGGTAATTATAGGCCATACAGGATATAAAATATATCAATTCTAAATATACTAGCTGTTAGAGATCTTTGCTACAATTGATATGAGATATATATATAATAGACATTAAAATGGATCTAAGATTTCGGTTACAGTTCTGCAGTTCTTGAGAGAGAGAGAGTTTACAGAAGTTGCATGTGGCAATAAATACCTTAAGTTTTAATGAGTTGCTAGTAAATCTTGACAACGAAGTTAGTCCAGTTAGGCAATCAAGTATTTTGGGTCGATGTTAATCCAGAGAATAAGCACTTAAATAAGTCCGATGGCCCTGTGAAAAACACAACGCACAGGGAAAAAGATACAGAACTTGAGACTGATCTATTCGAGGATGGGGCGACGACTGCTTCACTCTGTTGCTCTGTTTTGATGTTGTACTGTTGAAATCGAGATATTAGGTCGAAAGGCGATGAGAAAGCATGGTTATTAGGCCTGAGAACTTAACAGATGTTTAGCTCTCAGGTGTAAAAGTTGACAGTTATTTAACGAAAGTATAGCTAAGATGTGATATTATGATGTAATGATGTAAACACATGGAAAGTCTGGATTCGTATCCTCACAAAATGCTGGGCTGCTTAAAACAGTTGTCTATAAGTATATATATTTAAAAATATTAATTAATTTTAAAAAATTGTCAAGTCCCAAAATTATTAATAAATAATGCTTAGATTTAAATTAGCAAATTTAATTTTATAATTGTGACATGCAAACTCTTCATACAGCAGCTAGTAATGACCTTCAGAAATATTATATCAAAGTAGTAGTGTATAGTATGAAAAGTGTCTATGAAATTGCATTAAAATGAAAATATATTAACTGAGGACTTACTGTTTTATAGCAAGAAACTTTCTAGAGTAGAGAATTGATGCTTGTTTTATAATTTCCATCACATTCTAGTTCCCAATAATAATGTCATTCATAAAGACCAAATCTACAGAGAGACACATCAGTAAATAGAAATCCCGAATGTCAGAAAATGCCTAAGACAATATTAACTCTGAAAAATACATTCCCAAATTGGAATAAGGTCATCTTCCAATATTCTCTGGTGAGCCAACAGACAAAATGTCCACTCTGTTTGCAGCTTGTACTCCTAAAAAGACTAGAAATTGGCTGGCACCACAAGGTATCTGCAAGCTTCAGCAGGCCAGTCAGTCCTGGATTCTGCTGGATTGTAACAGTCCAACAACATTCACAAAAGCCTGCCTCCCATGGAGAACTTTTAGATTGTTTGCATGACAAGTGGGCCAACATTCTAAGAACCCAGTAGTGTAACTTGTTCCATTCCAAACCAGGTAATGCTTTGAAGAAAGCAAGAGGTGGAACAACTAGGTTTTAATATGCATACATGGCATTTGTATCACATGGATACTGTGAAATAAGATAATGTCTGTCTGAAAATAATAGTGTCTATTTACTTGTGAGTTGTCTGTCATGAAGATGCCTCGGATGAAATCATATTGTGTCAAGGTCAATGAGCTTTTAACATTGTTGCTCTCATACAGGGTGATTTTTAATTCATGCAAAACTTTAAACTTTAGTAACATTTCAACTATATGAGATAAAAAGAAAATTTAAAAAGCATATACAGAATTTATTGCCATTTAATGCCATTTAATTACGTTTTCAAAATGACTATCTTTGCTCACAGTAATAGTTTTTAACTAATTTTTGAAACATTCAATAACGCTAAAAAAAGTCTTTCTTGGAATCACCATTTTTTTTTTTTTTTATTGTGTCTATCAGCACTTCAATTGTAGGAGCATTGTGATATACTCTGTCTTTAAGATAGACCCATAAAAAAAAATTGCATGGCTTTAAGTTGGGGCTATAAAAAGGCAACCACTCTACACCACCAACATATTATTTATAATCTAATCCAATTACATGCTTCTCAAACATATTGTAAAGGCTTTTAAACACTTGCTTTGTACAATGGGGCCGTGCACCATCTTGCATAAACCAAGCACGATGTTAATGCCCAATAAGCATTTTGGGATAAAACTTTTTTTTTCTGTTAGGTATACTAAATACTTAGATTGGATGTCATGCCAACAGTTGTATTAACTCAATTAAAAACTTCAGATAAGGTATTAAAGAAATTAAAAGAAATATTTTATTTCTGCAAGTGCTTTCGACGTAATTGTGCACGTCATCCTCGGGCAGTTTGATAACTTCTTTTTCAATAATTCAACATATGCAGCAGAAGTAACATTCCTTTTGAAGAAGAATGGTCTAATAACTTTGCTAGCACTGATAGCACACCAATTAGTACACTGATAAAACACCAATTGGAGAATTAGAATTTTGATGATAATTTTTTTATAATAAACACACTGTTCTGAAGTGAATGCCACTATTTTAAAAATGACTGTTAACGTTAATCAATCATTGATATTATAAATGTAAACATTATACTGTACTATATAGTACTTTTTGAATTTTATTTCTATCTCATTCAGGTGAAAAGTTATTAATGTTTTGTGTGAATTAAAAATCATCCTGTATATGCAAAGGTGTGTTCTAGCCAACATGATAACTTCAATTTGAAAATTTATATCATCATTGATTATTAGTAATATAAATATAACTAAATAAATCAGTTTCAGTATAAATTTAGAAATTTGTTCTTGCATAATTGTAAAAATGATGTATTACACATCATTAAATAATATAAAATTTATCTTGCAGTTTTTATAACAACATTGAATCATGAGCATAAATATTACCGATATTTGTGAAAATACCAAAATGGGCCGTGAATATGCCCTTCTTGGGAATTATGAGACCGCATTGGTCTATTACCAAGGAGTTGTACAGCAGATTCATCGACTACTTCAAACAATTAACGATTCTATTCGGAAAGAAAGATGGCAACAGGTGAGATTGGATTCTGTTATGTTGTTGTGTATTTTATATTATTTTAACAAAATTACTTTCAATTAGATTCAGCAACAAGTAGCACAAGAGTATGAATTAGTCAAAGATATTCCGACGGTGTTAAATGGTTTCAAGTCGGACAATCATACCGATCGGCCCATCGTTACTCGTCAAACTTATGACGATCCTTCGATTGATCCGGACATGTGGGCACCACCAATTAATAGAGATCCAGATGTGTGGCCACCTCCAACTCCTGTGGAGCATAAGTAAGTATAAGATTTTAATTGCACCTGTTTGTATTTTCATAATCGCTTAAATGATTAAATAAAATATATCTAGACCGGGACCGCCAATAAGACCCACCCGTCCGAGGCGTTCAGAAGCAGCAAGGCCTTCGGGTGGCAACAAAGCCGGAAATGTCAATAATAGAGCTGCCAGCGACAAGAGTAATAAAAGAGCAACTAATGAAAAGGCTGGAAAGAAAGAAGAAAAAACAAAGAAAGGTGGTAAAGGGGAGGAATCGTCTAAAGAAGAAAAGGTATGCAGCATCGGCATTTGAATATTTTGCAATGAAATTTGTTTGTAGATTATTATTTTCCTCTGTTGATGTTTGATGTTAATGTAGGAGGAAGAACGAAAATTTGATGGTAGTGGCTATGATCGAGACCTCGTAGAGATGTTGGAACGGGACATCTTACAGAGAAATCCCAATATTCACTGGGATGATATTGCAGATTTAGAAGAAGCAAAGAGGTTGCTGGAAGAAGCTGTTGTATTGCCCATGTGGATGCCTGATTTCTTCAAAGGAATTCGCAGACCCTGGAAGGTTATTTTATTTTTATTTAACTTGCTTTGTATCATCCTCAAATTTTGCAACTCAAGTTTCATCCACTTTAATTGAGATAGAAGGCCGAAACTTTCAGGATATAATCCTGATGACAATGCATTTTAATGATGATTCAGTGTGTGCCTAATCCTCCATCCTTTCCACCCTAAAACCCTAATAAACATAACCAAATACAGAATTTAATTTTTTTTTTCTTTTGTACATATGTGAATGCACTGTATGATGTATATGTTAGGAGTGGAATCATTTCAATCTCAAAAGGCATAACTAATAAGTTTTTTTAAAATATATTACAGGTATCCCTTGTACAACACAGTGTCACTCTAACAACAGTTTTAAAATTGGGGAATTAGGGATATCCCCCATACAATACTACTACCAGTTTTGCTCTAACAGTTTGAGAGTTTGTGAAATCCTCCATACAAAATGTCACAATTTTTAAGTATAAAGTTCATTGTTCGGTATTTTTTTTTTATTCAAGCACACAATTCATCTCCAATTTGCCGATATATTTTAGAATATTTAAATTTTCAAATTATTTTGTGCTTTTCATCAGGTTTTCTTTAATGAAAACTGACAGGACAAGGAAGAAAAACATTGCACTAACTTTCCTATCAACTAGGTGTCATTGTTGCTTTAAGACTTAATACTGTCACTATGTTTTATTTTTATAGATTAATTTTTGTATTTAGTAGGGTGTTGTTAAACTTTTAACCATAGGTATTACTTACCTACAAATGAAATGATAATTCATACAAATAACAAACGAAATAGTGGTACTTTGGTACTCGAATACAAATTCTGGAAAAAAATTCTATACTTTACTGAACAAATTTTTGATTAAAAACATATTTTTATTTTGTCATCTAAAAATTTTTATGATGATAAAAAAAAAATATGAAAATGTTACTGATACTTCTGCTAATCAAGATCTACAGAAAAGCTGAGATGACAATACTTTGTAAAAAGAATACGCCCTTGTTTAACTAAAATGAATATTAATGCGTAATACAGTACTTTTAATCGTGATTGTTAATTATCGATTGCTTCAATAAACATAGTATACTTTTGCTAAGAAAAATTTATTTTTTTTATTTTTTTCATTATTAACTACTGGAAGGTAACCCTGTTTTGCATTAGTCTTGTTTCGTATAGCACAGATTTGCAAAACACGGCACTTTTTCGGAATGTAACCATCATGTTATACAGGGGATACCAGTATTTTGTTCCAAAGATTAGGACTTCAATTTTGGAGCAGTTAGAAAAATTAAACTTTTGTTTCACTCATAGAATTTTCTTAATTGTAGTTAGTTGTTATTTTCATTAATGTTTGCTATGTTTTATACCTTAGGGAGTGTTAATGGTTGGTCCTCCAGGAACAGGTAAAACAATGTTGGCTAAAGCAGTAGCTACGGAATGTGGTACGACGTTCTTTAACGTCTCATCTTCTACTCTTACTTCAAAGTACAGAGGAGAATCTGAGAAACTTGTTCGCCTTCTTTTCGAAATGGTACTTTTTCAGAAACTTTTAATATTTTTCGTTATGTAAAGATGTTTAAATAGAATAGTGACAATTTATTTCTAGGCAAGATTCTATGCACCTAGTACTATTTTCATTGATGAAATAGACTCTCTGTGTTCCAAACGTGGGTCGGATTCAGAGCACGAAGCCAGTAGACGAGTTAAATCCGAACTGCTAATTCAGATGGATGGTTAGTAAAAACATCACAAATATAAAATATCTTCTTATGGATATTATAATAAGCATTCTTTAGGTATAACAAGTAATAGTGAAGATCCAAGTAAAGTGGTGATGGTGTTGGCTGCTACTAATTTCCCGTGGGATATTGATGAAGCCCTGCGTAGACGATTAGAAAAGAGAATCTACATTCCACTTCCCACCAGTAAGAATTTCAAAAGATGAATTATTTATTAGCACTGATGATTGGAAGATTACTTATTAAACATTTATCTACATTTCAGGAGAAGGCCGAGAAGCGCTGTTAAAAATTAATCTTAGAGAAGTGGAAGTTGCACCCGATTTAGATATCACAGACATAGCAGCTAGTTTGGATGGATATTCTGGTGCTGACATAACTAATGTTTGCAGGTATGCTTTTTGCACAAGTTCTTTCCTCTTAATCTTATTACTGTGAGAATGTCACCTTGTGATAGACGAGCAAAACCACTTGTTTATTTTGTATGTTAAATATTACAATAATGTTGATTCATTCTTGAACTGCAAGAACTTAATATGCCTACAGACATTCTCACAATGGTACCATATAGTTATTGTACTGCAATATTTCTTAATTTTAATTAGGGATGCATCCATGATGGCAATGCGGCGGAAGATAGCTGGACTCACACCTGAAGAAATTCGCAATTTGGCCAAGGAGGAATTGGAACTGCCGGTCAGCCCCGCAGATTTCGAAGAGGCTATCAGAAAGATAAACAAATCTGTCAGCAAGGAAGATCTCGAACGTTACGAAAAGTGGATGGCGGAATTTGGTTCCACATGATGCACCATTTTACATAGACAGATGACTATAAATATATTTTGTGGCATGAATGTATTTTCACACCAGTTCCAGGGAACAAATTCCTTAATGTTCTTCAAACTAAAATACTTAGTTACACAATAACCAATACTAAACAGCATGGCCTCTGATATGGCACTGCTAGAAACTGCCTACTGTTAACATAACAAAAATTCTTAATACACAGATTAATATAATTTTCTAACAAAAATATTTATTTGTGGTGGTAAATCATTTGCATACATATAAATTATATAAATTCTAAATAAAAAGTTTTATTTTACAAATTACTGTATGCTTATAAACAGTTTACAAAAATTCAGACTGCAACTTCTGAATCACAACATCCAGTTTTGGACTGGGTATCAATAATATCTTCCGGGAAGGTTTCCATTCTCTGTCGTCTTCGGACCATCCTCCCATCAGTACCGTATCAGATTCGTTAGCCACAGAATATTCAAACTGAACTTCAGCTTCCTGTAAAGGCAATCAAAATTGTCATTAAAACAACAAAAACAAGCCTTTTGCAAAAGCTTACGAAAACCTACTTCGGCAAAGAATTCCTCTTCTGCATTTGCAAAAATGATACTTTCATCTTTCTTCACCATTTTCTGGTGATAAATCTTACTTATTAACAAGTAATGTGAAAAATCAAATTTCATATTTTTATCAACAGCTTTTTTCATGTCCATCCTGGAAAAGATGATCTTAATTATAATTAACAATATTTATTGATCAAAATTACTAAAATGTCAATTACCTAAGATTTTCGTAGAGCGGTAGAGCAATTTTTGGAGGGATGTTCATAAACCGTTCACTCAGTATAAGACCTACTCTAGCATTTGGATCTTCCAGAATGGAGATTAACTTCTTTCCTTCAGGACCTGCTCCCTTGCAGTGATTTTTGAGAAACGACCATATCTGACTCACACAGTTGACATCCTGTAATTTAAGACATCAAACTAAGACAAAAATTATGCTCCTGTTAATCTTGTGTGTTTGCCTAGTTCAAAGTTTTAATTATAATATTAGCATGTTGTACAGTATGTTATTTATAAGTACACTTAACAAATCATTGAGTTTTTTCTATACCCCAAAAAATTAATTATAAATGTCAAAACTTCTCTCCATCAGATTTCCATTTTTTTAGACGAGAAGTGGAATTTAGACGGTCCTGATGGATTTTCATATATCGGCATATGTGGGCAACATGTTGGAGGATCTGTGATGGTGTGGTCTATTTTGCCATTATAATTATAGATGGAAATACAAAATCTCAAAAATACCAGAAACTATTTGGGCTATTATTAAGTAATTTGGTTATTAGAGGTAGACGTTAGGTGCCATCTCTTATTTAATTTACATAAGAGATGGCGCCTAACGTCTATCTCTAATAACCAAATTACTTAATATCTCATTATTAATAATAGCAAAATAATAGTCCAATTAATTACGGTGATCGTTTGGTTTAGTATCAATGCCTTGGGCTTCAGGATGTTTGTTACATTTAAATACAAGGAACTGCTCTACAATAACCTAATCACATTTGGTTAAGGAAGAAACAATTGGAAATTTCAACAGGACATTGCTCCAATTTATGACTCAAAATCAACATAACATTGGCCTTCTATTTTTTCAATTAAAAACCAATCAATCACACTGATAAGTCCAGACATAAATCCAATAGAAAATTTGTGGAGCATCTTAACCAGAATAGTCTATAAAGAAAACAAACAATATCAAACAGTAAATGATTGCAATAATGAATGCCTGGGACTCACACTTCAACATCAAATACAGTGTTTAGTCTTTAGTAATCAATTGGTCCCCCTTTAGCTTCAATAAATCACTTTAAGAAATTATAAATACCTTAGTTAAAATTTGCATTTAACAGTAAAAAATTCAAAATTTTAGAAATTTTATCTTAATATAAAATGATACTACACAAATTTTTAGCAATTTTGTTAATTATCCTGTGAATTGTCTGTAATTAACATTTTAAATCAAACTTGAAAACTCATTAACAAAGTTTTTTTTCATACTCCAAAAAATTAATTGTACTTATACTGTTACATATTTAAAGACACTGGGCATTCTATATGATCAAACTCTCCATTTTTCCGATTAAGGGCGGCAGTACGACATCACCTTTTTTGCTGTGAAAGTTGGTTAAATTCTATCTTTTGCAGCAGCCACCAATAACAGTGTTTCTCAGTCAACAGAATTGTGTGTTGTTTTAATGACAGAAAATTCAACACTGTTAACTGACACACTAGAATAAAGAGGAAAGTGTAATAAATTTAACATAAATTCTACACAAATAATCATATATAATTTAATTCAAAGGAAAAAACAAACAAATCATACCCAAAATAGTATTCCTCAATTAAGATCTCAATAAATAATAAGTGTATTTTGTACATCAGTTCTTTCTTGATCTAAGAAAAAAACTCTAATCAAAAATCTAGCTAAATAAAGCGAGCTGTAGAAAACAAAATTTGTAAACATGAGGATAATGGCATTGTTGGTATCGTTCACTATCTTGAACACTGCACACATGCATCAAAATCTAAAACACATTTCCGTTTGTGTTTAGATTTTGTGCTACCACACAGAAAAGATGTGTTTGCAGGATTGCTTTTTGTTGCCACACCATATGTGCATCCACCCTTATGATTCAAATAAGTTGAAGTTTTTTTATGGAGACAGATGTTACATTAAAAAACTCGCTTCCCACTCCTGCTTTTCGTCAGACTGGATGTGATGTCGCTGAGTAATTGTCTCGGTATCGATAAATATAAGATGCTATTTCATCAGAGCAAAATTATACAAAAATTTCAAATATTTTTAGGTTTTATCTTCAAGAAAACTCACCCTAATGTTAATAACAATTCATAGGACATGTACAAAATTTGATTGTCAAATTCAGGTAATGGCCATAACTTTTGTTGTTACTGATAATAATACAAATTCTTGTTATTTATATTTTCTAAATTTTTGTTGTGTGACATTTCATGCTAACACACATCATGGTGACAAGCAGCCTTTCCCAAATGTGGGTCACATGCACTTTTTCTTAAGATGCCAGCTTTTTAGCCTGCAGAGATCCAACATACTTGATAACCTCCAGTATGCTCGGTACTAAAATAATGTGTTAATGACATGCAATTTAGTAATATATATACTTTAAATTTGGCCAGTAAAAAGATGAGAATAGTTTGCATCTTCTTTGTCAGAAAAGAAAATTATACAGACAAAACTCTGGGACTGCAAATTAGAATTTCAAAGGCCACATGCAATCTACAGGTTTCTCACACTAGTCTATACTTTTGGTGTGTAAAAGCTGTCTGTTAAAATTTTCAGATATGTGACACATGCATTTTATTGATCAACAAATGGTCAATAAAGCAAGATCATTGACAACTAAAAATAGTGAGGTTGAGGCCAAAGTTTTAAATGTGAAAACATGTACGTTGGATGTTTGGTGCCGCTTTCCTGTAAGCCTAGATGTTTGACAATGGTGTTTGGAATGTCAAGCATGATTCCACTGACTATCCAAACACCTTGTCAAACTTCTAGGCTTACAGGAAAGTGGCGCCGAATGTCAGACATACACATTTTCGTGTTTAAAACTTCGGCCTCAACCTCGCTATTATACTCCCAAGTTATTTATCCAGATGTGCATGATCTGAATAGCCATGGTATTATTTACTAATTATATATATCATGTCTATACAAATAAGAATAATTCTTGTACCAAAGGTACATTGTCACCTTTAGTACTTTCGTATTATACATGTCCAAAATCTGTATAATTTTGGACATGTATAATACGAAAGTACTAAAGGTGGTGGTACCTTTGGTACAAGTATTATTCTTATATCTCTAACATATATATATATATGTCATATATAATATACCGAGTGTCCCTTATTTTCTAACTTCAAAAATTTTGAATGCCCACCAGCCCACTTTTTCCTTTCACTCAAAAACATGTCATTATTTAATTTCTTGGTTATTGATAAATATTAGGGTTTCTCATTTCCCGGTCTTTTGCTTGTCCCGGGATCCCGGGATAAAAGTGAACTGTTTCCCGGGATCCCGGGAAATCCCGGGATAGAATTAATTAATTTTAAGGTATACAAAAGATCTTGAAATCAAATGATATAATTATTTTCCATTTTCTAAAGTAATTTTAAAGTTCTGTAACCTCCAAAATCATATTAATAATGCTGTGTAAGGTCTATAGGCCGATAAAAAAAATTACCTTTAAATAACGTAGAAATTTTCACAAATCGAAAAAAATTAATTAAAGTTTGCTGGAAACTGCATACAACAACAACAAAAATAATGTTTTGAATTGAGTTAAAAATTAAAAAAAAAATGAACTTCTAATTTAAAAGGTAATTTTCGTTTTTTAAATAAAATATAACACAAAATATTGCAAACTTTTATAAGATTTTAAAAAGCAAAGATGGTCAATACTCCGATAACTCACTCTAATTCTTATTTTAGTAATGAAAAGTCTTGCCACCGAGAATGCCCTTTCCGATTCAATTGATGTGATTGGAATAGTGTTTAATGCATTTAAGAGAAGACAGATATTATGTGTTTTTTCACCTGTAGCCTGGAAGATTTCGAGTTCGTTTTCGAGATTGTAGTACTTCTTTCGCTCTCTAGTATTCTTGATTTGTCTACCTTGGCTGCTTTAATAGCGGCATCAAGCTTAGAGCTCGATAATTCGGCAATTCATTTGGCTTTAATAATCAGGTTTATGAAGAAAAACTTCATACTTGCAGACTTTGTACTCGTTTGTATCCTTGCCCAATTTGCACAATCTGGCGTCAGGCATTTATTGAAGCTACTGGGCATGGTTAAAACTCAAGACAGCGTAAGCACAATTATTCCAGATATTACAGGTTCCGACAAGTAAAGAATTTTTATAGTCCTGCCACAAATAAGCTATATATTGATTATTGACCATTTGTGACATGCTATAATGAGCAAAAATAAAAAAAAAAAAACTAATAGGTAGGTTTAAAATTAATAAATACAAATGTATTCTGACAGTGAATGAGTTAATTATGCTTTCTATTTGCAAAATTCCTCAACCTTAACACAAAATAAGAAAAAAGTGAATTTAAGAAATTTGCGGGATTTCCCGGGATAAGAAAAATATCCCGGGATATTTCCCGAGTTAAAAAAACAAACCGGGATCCCGTTTGAGAAACCCTAATAAATATTAACCTGGACCGACTTGAGCATCAATGTCAAAACATCTGGACATGCTACACTTTGCTTGGGCCTGGAGTGGTTATTACGCATGAAGCACTGTTGGCTTATGTTCAGTTTCCAGCTGTGTTAATGTTAGTTTAAAGGTGCACAAATACATCCATGTCATATGAATTACACAAGTATAGTGTGTTTTGGATAGGGAATGTGAAACACCAAATAACTGGAGACAAATCGTTATCAAATAGACAAGTGTTACTGTTTTATTTTACAACATACGAGAGGTTAAGCTAACTACAAGTATAAGTGAGTGTGTGAATCTTGTAGTTTGTGAGTGCATGATCTTTTGAGAAAAATGATAAGGCTTTGCACCAAGCTTGATGGATGGCAAGAAAAATTTATTCCCTAAAAATATTTCTCCTAAGGTCAGAATTTAAACTATCCATCAGTGAAGAGGAAGCTTTACATGATACAGTATAACCACTGAATAGCAGACACTGTCGGAACCAAGAAGTTTGTCTGCTATTTAGAGGTGTCCACTATTTGGATTTACGTGCCAGCAGCCATATTGTATTTTAACCTGGTCATTATAAAGTGAAGAATACAATGGATTATGAAAATCAAATTTGCATTAGGAATGTGAAAATACCAGAAAGTATACATAGCAGCATATACTGATAAATAATATATATACTTTTCAACTGTAAACATCACATTTTAATTGAATTCTAAACAGTAAACAGATTGTATAGGATACTTTAATTAAATGGAACAAAAATTACAATGAAATGGAAACACTGATTAATTATTAATTCATCAAAAACAACCTGAATGGAAGGGTGGACAAAGGTGGATTTAGGCAATGAGAGTTTGAATATCGAGTTACGAAGGCAATTTCCTAGCCACTTCAAGGGGTAAGAAATGTATTCGGTGTTCTTGCATTTATAATGTCATTTATGATCTAAGCGACTAATAGAAATCAATATAGTGATTTATCTACTTTGTAGCTAATTGAGGTGGTGTAATTTTTCAAACATTTTTGCTTTTTTCAATAAATGATTTATAAAAAAATTACTTTAGCCACCACAAAGCTGTTAAGATCATAAATTACGTCATAAATGTGAGAAAATCGAACATCTTCCTACACTTTGTGCTATGAAGGCGATTTACTGACCACTTTAATCTTTGAATTTTCACTAAACACTGTTGTCTTAACCTTAAAACTCATACTTTTTTGTTACTGCTGTACTGTAGTTCCTGTTGAATGAATGAATAACTTCAGAAAAGTTAATGATTTCTCGGTGACAAGATTAATAATGTTAATATGTATGATGATAAATGGTGACAGAACACTAATCTGGTTAAGTTGTCAAACAGATAATGAGTATTGTTAGGCTTTTTACAACATGCCCTCCTCTGTTCCTATTTTAAGCCAGTCCCTATTCAATGCCTACAATCAAAATTCATCCTCTGAACTGATTCTTTGTTTAGTTTTAAAATATGTCATTCATAATTAATTCTTTCAAAATATTGAAGATGAGACTTTGTTTTTGTGAGAATCTGGATTTGTGAGAAATTTAGGGGAGGGCCATTTTAATCAAAATAACAAGTGGAAGAAAAGATTAGAAAATTGAGAGAAATTAATATTTTTCCAACTTCAACGAAGTTTCTAAAAACCAGATAAAACATCCAATTTTAAAAGGAAGTTGATTTCCTTTCCCAGACCAACTCACGATGAGTCGAGTTTTGCACACGTTACTGAAGACCAGATAAAAGAGACATTTTCCCGCTACTCGAGACAGTCTGTTGAAAGAAGGTTGCCACACGAAGAAAGTCTGACATACAATAAAGGCAGTCCATTGGAACAAGGTATTGCCATACAGGGAAATCCGATATACGAAACGCAGTCCGTCGAAAAGAGGGTTGCCACGCAAGAAGTCCAACATGCGAGATAAGATATCATCATACAAGGCTGTTATAAGAATCCAAAAGGAAGTCATAAAACATAGAACTACATTCGAAATATACAAGAGAAGACTTAAAAGGACTTCCCAAAGAAAATATTAGAAGAGAAATAAATCAAGGAAGGAGGAAGACCCTCAAATAGATACAGAAAAAGATACGAAAGACCTAAAGAAGGTAATATGACCAGAGATAGATTGTTGTGAACTCTCTCATGCATTAGGTTTAGAAATAATCTTAGGTTAAAAATTAGAGTTAAGATTAGGTTTAGATTCATTCTTTTGTATAATTTCATATTTTTGATCCATTAAATATTTTGATTTATTATATAAATATGGCTTCTTCAATATTAATGTTAGATATTCACGAATTTAGGGATAACGCGTGTTAATTCGTGTATAAAATAAGTGATTAACTGGTGTTGGGACTCCTGACGTAAGGAAAAGGTGATTACGCGATCATCAAAATTCCACTTTTAAAGTAACACATTAGCTAAAGCCCTCCACACTCGATTTTCTTTGAATAGAAAAACCATCCTTGTAAGACAAACAGAGGGCTATTCTAGAGAATAGTTGCCGAGTAAGTGATACCAGAGTCTTACCACTCCGTATCCACGGCTTAGCCCCTCACATTTTCGTAAAGTAGGTTATGGACAACGGCGTCCATTATCTAGAGGTAAATATTACAGATGTCCTATTTGAAGAGTCTGAGGATTATGAAAACGTTTGTTAAGTAGCGGTGTCTGTTAATGGAGGTTTCACTATTTCTCTGTTATAGCAGTTTACATTAAACCATGACTAAGTGCAATGCAGCTGTAAAAGCCCCTAATCAAGATCTCTGTTTCTTGATCAGGGACTTTTATGAAGTGATAGATACAACCATTTCTACAGCAGCTTTAAAGAAGCATAACCAACACTTGAGATATTTATCTGAAGAACTGTTAGTTGTATCTCTTTTTGACACTATTGACCTTCAAAAGTAAAATGTTGATCAATTTGGGCAGAGAACATCAATTTATGGGAAGGAAATTTATTCATCTGCGTGAAGAAATGGATAGCAAATTATTTGGTAAATTTAATTTCTCTTCACTGTAGTAGCATATTTTTATTTACCTTGTCTTATTGATTTGTTACCCATTTTAGAGAAAACAATTAATGACCTTGCATCAATTCAAAGATGATGATTCTTTTGTCAGCTACAATAAATACAAATTTTCTCCAGGAATGTCCTTCGATGTGGAAACACAACACTTTGTATTAGTAGCCCAAAGGGCAGTTAACATGTTAAGAGCTGTTAAATTATTGCCAGATTTTCGCATATTATTGATTATGGATCTTCATCCATAATCAATAATCAAAAGGAGTTTGTGTTGCATTGTGTGCAAAACTATTGAAAGCTATATCCAGATTGCAAAAAAAAAAAAAAAAAAAAAAAAAGACATTGACAAGAAAGTATGCACAGCAATTTCTAATTTTGTAATGAATGTTACAGATGACTACTGTATCAAGAACTTAATAAAATGTTATTGATTTTTACCGTTGCTTAAATACCCCCACGTAACCATTCCTCGTATTCAAGTCTTGCACTCGTTTCGGCACGGTTTAATGTCATCTCATCAAGATGAAACTTCATACTTGAGTAATTCTAACCAAATGTAAATAGTTTAGAGACTGGCCATAAAATTATGAACATCCTAATATATATATGAAGCATGCAATGCCATAATGCCAAATGCCGTTTTTCTCTAAATACATTGCATTTAGAACTCAATTCTTCAATAAAATGTTTTCTGCTGCAAAAAATACTGTGGTGATATTTGCACTGTAAGAGGCTGTATTTTGAATTTGTGAAGCCACAATGTTTAAAGTGCAAGTCACTTTTGACACTTAAAATGTTATGACATATTTACATCATTTTGATATTCCAGAGAATTTGTAACCAAGTGAGTTTTTTACCATTTTATTGTAAACTTGAAATGAATTCATTCACTATAAAAAAGGTTTTTTATATCTTCTGAAAAAGTTTGTTTTTTGGTATTTACAATATTATGGCATTGCATGCTTCATATATAAACATCACTAAGCCCGATGTATTAATAATAAACCAAATGATTGCCCTAATTTGGTACTAGAGATAGACATTAGGTGCCATCTGTTATTTAAACTAATAATATCAAAATTAATAAATTATTATAAAGATAGAACCTAATGTCTACCTCTAGTACCTAATTATTAATAGCAAAAAAATAGCCAGATTAATTACGGCACTGTTTGGTTTAGTAAACTTCGAATTGGAACAACAGAATATTGGATGTGTTTAGGTGACAAACAGCTAAGCATGTGGTCAACAATATAGTCTATTTCATATAAAAGAGAGGCAGGTGTTTTTCTTTACTTAACACAGCTGCTTTTAAATGGTGAGCATCTTTATTATATCAATTAACAATGTTTACCTTTTTATCTGTTATATTAATCACCGAAATCATTCCAAAATCTTCATCGTCCATGTCGTCGTCGTCGTCCTCTTCTCCAATCTCTTGCTAAGATTTCACAAAAATTTAATTTTGATCACGTTGCACCTTTAAATATCATTATAAAATCATATTCTTACCTTTATTACGCTGCTAACATAATTCTGTTGAATTATCAATTCGCTCAGTTCTGACAAATTGACGTGAGCCTTCAAGAAGAGCTGAAAGAAAAAGATAAATTTAATAAAAGTCAAAACTTAATTACAAAGAACCAAATAAAATTATGCACACCATGTGTATAAAATTAGCCAATCAAAAATTAAAAATTCAACAATGCAAACAATATGCTTTTAGTTTATGAATATCATTTCCAACAGTAACAATAGCAGAAGAAAATTTTGACTGATTCAAGTTGCATTTTATCAGCTTATGGCCGGTTTCACAATTGCCATTTAAAGTACAGAATAAATGCAACTTTGTCACTTATCTAAAAGAATAAAATTGCTCATTGCGCAAGTTACTTTAACTTGACAACCAGAAAAATTCTTACCACACATCTGCATTACCAAGAGCAACTGTAATCAAAATAAAAGAGTAAAAAATTGGAAAAAGCATGGAACAGATATAGACAAAATACATATTAATAGATTTGGTAGCTACTATTGTACTTTATAACAAGAAACAACTAAGTAAATCTTATTTATATAGTAGTTAACTCCGCTTTGTAAATATCAAGATTCAATTTTGATTTAACATCACCACGTATTATGAAACCAGTTGAAAAGCCCGATGCAGGGCATACTAAATAGCATGCATAGCAATGATAAATAAATAAAACTACAAATAGTTTACCTAAAGTGCAGAGACATTTGGCAGGGTAAATCACATGGATCTGTCTGCATGTTACACCACTGGCCTGGAGTACTTTGCAGGCACTGGTTGTTTTTAAAATCATGATTAAAGTACAGTGGAACCTCGGTATACGTCTGCTTTAGAATACGTCCTGTTTGGACGAAACAAATTTTGCTCGGTATACGACTTTTGTTCGGTATACGACTTAATTCAATTATACGCGCCATCAATGAACAAGTAGCACTATCGGTGTACTACACTATACTAGACGTTCGCGGTGCTACGGTTTATAACTTTCTTAAATTTCTTCTGATTTTAATTTGTAAATAACATTTTATTATTTTTATTAATCATGAATTGCAAAAGGGCAACAGAAAAAAAATGACTAGAGTCACAACGGAACTGAAAAAAGAGATTGTTGAGAAATATGAAGGTGGCACGCGTGTTCGAGATTTAATGAGATTTAACTGTTGCATTCCGTATTCCGAGAACGACGATATCGACAATCGTGAAAAATAAAGACATTATTAAATTTGCTAACGTTGAAAAATAAAGACATTATTAAATTTGCTAACGTTGCGAAAGGGGTTAAATCAAAATCTAAACAGAGATTGAAGACATTAAATCGTGTCGAGAAACTGCTTTTGCTATGGATAACTGAAAAACAGTGTGCCGGCGACAGCGTATCGGAAGAAATTATTTGCGAGAAAGTTAAAAGGATACACGCTGATCTCATGAAAAATCAAGCAGAAACTAGCGAGGAAAGAAAGGTGTTTAAAGCCAGCCATTTTTTTTACATGAGAACGGATTAGTCATTTTTACATTACTTCTTATGGAAAAGGTTGGTTTGGTATACGTCCTATTCGGTATAAGTCCAAACACCAGGAACGGATTAAGGTCGTATACCGAGGTTCCACTGTATTTCCCAAAACACAACATTTTGGGTAAATACTCTACCATCTCCCATTAAGTCCCCCTGTAAAGATGTTTTAAGGGATTTGAACTTTTACATCTGTTCTTTTCCTTACTCTACAGAAGGCAACGTATAGTTGCCCATGACCAAACATGGGCTCAGGTAAATAAATCCCAACTTTGTTCAAAGTTTGTCCTTGAGACTTATTTATAGTCATTGCAAATGTTGGTTTTACAGGAAATTGTCTTCTATTTAATTTAAAAGGTAGTTCCGATTCAGAGGGACATAAATCTATTCTAGGAATAAATACCTTGTCACCTTCAGCCGAGCCAGTGAGAACTTCGACTTCAATCAGATTTGGTTTTGATAAGGATGTTATAACTAAAACGGGTTCCGTTGCAAAGTCCTTTTTTTAGTATTCAAATTTCGTAGGAGCATTACAATAGTTCCTATTTTTAATTTTTGGCAATGATTTGGCATCCCTGAAGGTGTGATACTATTCAAGAATTCAACATTAAAGTTGTCTTGTTCATCATCTTCCTTCACGGAATCATCACTTAAGTATGTAATGTACTAACCTTCTAAAATATCTATTGCTTGCTGATTAAGTTTATCAACATCATCATTCTTAGGCCAAAGCATTGCCCTCTTTGACACATCTTAGATCATGTCAATCAAGATATTGTCGCCAAATGTTGCAGAAACAATGTTGTCACACAAAAACTCTGAAGGTATTTCTACCAAACTGAGGTCCGCAGGAAACTCAACTTCATTGTTTAAAGTTCCATCTCCAAGTTTTAAAAGCCATTCACTACGATCTGGATCTTCTGATCTGATATTACGACTCAGTGTAAGATGGCAAATAACACCGTCTTGCCATAGCTTTGAATATTTTAAGCTTCCTTGGACTATAGCAGGTCTCATTGCATGAGGAATGATTGGTAGGCATTGTCTGAAATCACCCCCAAGTAACATAACCTTACCACCAAATGGTACTCAGTCATTTTTGTTCAAAGTTATGTCTTCATTAAGAAGATCATCAATTATATTTACAGCACAATTTGAAGCCATCGTAGATTGGTCAATAATGAACAGATCAGCATTTCTCAGAATTTCTGCAGGTTTTGAATTTGCTTTCATATTTGAAGAGGATGCCTCATTCATTGGTACAGGTAAAGCAAACAACGAATGCATTGTTTTACCTTTATTCAATAAATTCACTGCAATGCCAGTTGTGGCTGCAAGAAGCACAACTTTTCCAATCCCTTGCATAAAGTGTATCAAGGTTTTATGTAGGTAAGTTTTTCTGCTGCCACCGGGTCCATCAATGAAAAAGCAATTTGCCCTTAACGACGAATCCTCAATCACTTTTATTTCACTAAAGCCCTGGTCACACTATGCGATTTCTAGCCGCGCAGGCGACTGCAACTGCAACAAGCGCGAGTCGCGCGCGTCTTCTCGTGGTCACACATTGTTTGTTGACGTTGCAACTCGGAAACACGTGGCCCTATAATAAACCAATAAAATTACAGTAGCTTGTTTTTGACTACTTTCGTGAGTTTGCCGATATTTTACGTTCTACTTCAGAGTATTTACGGAATTTTAGCCACTTTTCTTATTAAAATAGCAAGCAGTTCCTTTCTGGAATGAATAAAAGAAAAAAGGCGATTATTTTAATAGAGCTGGCGAAAATACATGAAAAGATAAAATCTTCGATAAAACGAAGAATTAAAATCCCGCAGGTATTCGTGAGCCTGAATAAGCTCGATCAATCTCGATTCTGTAAAAGTATTAATCCTATGACTATCCGCCATGATGATGAACTATTTTCAATGTTGTCACTGTATGACGTGGCATAAAGGCGTTTGTTGATTGGATGCGTGTTTGCAATCGTCGCGAGTAGAACAAACTTTTTGTTTCTAGTTGCAATTGCAGTCGCGCCGGTTTTCGAGGGGGGATTACTAGTTAGCGGGAACAGCCGTCGCGGTTGCAGTCGCCTGCGCGGCTGGAAATCGCATAGTGTGACCAGGGCTTAAAGACTTTCATTTGCTCATCATTTAGATGAGTAATCAGCTCGTCTGCATTTCTGCATTCATCTCGATTAAACTCATTATCATAATCTGGCAATATTGTGCCAGTTTATAAGTGAGATCAAAACTTACATATGTTTGACAATGATTGTTAAACACATTCTCTATCCGTCATTGCATAACCAACGCAATTCTTACATTCTCCTTCTTTGTTGTGCTCATGCAAACAACAATCTTCAGTCAGGTGTAATTGGAATTCTTCATATAACTTTTGTGGTTCAGATGGAGGACCAAATAAGCATATGTATGCAAATAAGTCTCTCAATTGTCGGGGCATGCTAAAACCTGCAGCCTCTTCCAAAGTTGACCTCCACATTGTATCATCTACCAGAAGTCCTAAAGCTTTTGCAGCTTCTTTAAAGATGCAATGAATAATTCTATTCATCGTTCTCAAATTTTCAAAACTTGTAGATCCTCTAACATGAAGGAGCAACAGTCTTAAATAATATCGTTCTTGGTCTCTTACACTTACGAAATATATTCTTGCAATAAATGTTCATTTTGCTCTTCTTGGTTTCCATTTGCCCTGTGCAATGACAAAATGATCAGATATATCTGTGTACAAATGCTGTATGACCTTTGGATCCTGTTCGTTTAACTTAAACCAAGCTACCAGGCTTGACTGTTTATCCATTTTTCTGGCAAGAGCATCAGTTTCATCTGCCTCATTAAAATAGATTGTATATTCACATGGAAAATGAACAGCTAATCTTATCATTGCATGTGATTGCTGATGCATTGGAAAGGAAAATATCCTCCATATTGCTTCAGTTGCACTCACATATCTTGAATCAACATAATCGTTTGGCTCATCATGAGTTAAGACATTATCATTTATTCGTACATGGCATGATCATGTCCTTTGTAAACATATTTGAATAAATATTTTACACTCTTAATTGAAGCACAAACGTCCACATTAATGTGACAGTTGTACTTCTTCAAAAGAAATGGATTGTACAGGACAACCCATCTATTATCAATCATGTTTCCATTGTTTTCAACTGCAGCATTTTGTCTCCTTTTGTATGAGGTACAAAAGGACTGTTTGAATTGCACAGCTCCAGTTGGTTCCAGGGGAATCTGCTTGGTGTCGCTAGGTTTGTACAGATCGTCTGGTGATAAAGCCGTTTCCCGATTACAGATATCTTGATTTGTTGATTAGCTACGCAGTTTTTAGTGAAGTGCGATTTTTTCATTTGTCAGATTTCAGAATGAATGGCCTGATGGAGCAACGACTTGCTGTGAAATTTTGTGTTAAACTTGAAAATCTGCAACTGAAACATTTGCTATGCTCAAGACGGCTTACAGTGATGTTGCTATGAAGCGTATGGCATGTTTCAAGTGGTCCCCCAGACCCAAAAAAGCTAGCCACGTTCGATCCAATGTCAAGGTGATGCTGACAGTTTTCTTTGATGCTAAGGGTGTTGTTCACCACGAGTACCTCCCCCAAGGCTCCACAGTGAACCAGACTTACTACATTGAAGTTCTGAAACGTCTGAGGAATGCCATCCATTGCAAAAAGCCAAAAATGTGGAAGAGTGGCGATTGGTTTCTCCATCATGACAATGCTCCAGCCCATTCAGCCTTCAGAACTCGTGAGTTTTTGGCCAAACACTCGATCACTGTTCTTCCCCACCCCTCCTACTCACCTAACATTGCTCCTTGTGACTTTTTCTTGTTACCCAAACTCAAAAGACCCTTGAAAGGAAGAAGATTTGAGACGATTCCTGAGATTAAGGCAAATGCGACAAAGACGTTGAAGGACATTACAAAAGAAGCATACCAGGACTGTTTCAACAAGTGGAAACACCGTTGGGATAAGTGTGTGTGTTCAGAAGGCGAGTACTTTGAATGGGACCCAGACATGTAACTTCTACATAACGTACATTTTTGTTTTATGATGTCAGTCCATGTATTTTTTGAACAGACCTCTTATCTGGGATATCCATCAACATTTCCAACAGTAAACTGTCCTTATCAAGGCATTGGCTATATTTCAGACTTCAGCTAAGGTGGGACATCAGCAAACATTGACAGCACTAAGACAGTGTATTTTACAAAATTATTGTGCTTCCAACTACTATTTACACTTGAAACATGAGGAAATTAGAAAAAAATAGCCCAAAGGCTCAATGTATTCATCCATTAATATTTGTGAAGAATCCTCAGAATTAACTACCTTGATTAATTCACAAATGAGGAAATGCCAAGGAGTGACACAAAGCATGCAAAGAACATTGTGTGGACATATCTTCCACCTGCCAGACTATTGACATCCACAAATGGCAATATTTACATGCCACGTGGTAGAAAATGCAAAGTTGACCAACCCCTCATGATATGAAGGTGAAGACTCCATGAAAACCTCAGGTTATTAGAACACTGAATGACATTGCAACTGATAAAATCAAAAGTCATCTTGTTGTCCAATATGCTCAGTTGCACGGATAGAGATGAGAGAGAGAAAGAAAGAGTGTGAGTGTGTGTGTGATTACTTTAAATAGTTTAATTTCAATGGAAAACCCTGTCATCATCCAACTACTTCCATTGCAAGCATGACAAAAGTTTATAAAACTGTCTTATGACCATTGACAAAGTCAAAGCATTCTATCAATGGTCACAAGTTTAAATGTTAATAAATGAAATTCTTCTTACATTAATAATAATAAGAATAAAGCTAAATCGGATGAAACCATAGACCACATTCTCAGTTCATGCAAAAACATTGCATAGACTGATTACAAATTGGGGCACAACAGTGTTGCCAAGTTGATTCACTGAAACATTTGCAAAAACTATGATTTACCCACCTCAAACAACTGGGGGGATCATAATATCACAAAAGTCACTGGAAATGAGCAGGTATAAATTTTATGGGACTTCAGATTGCAAACCGATAAAGTTCTAGCAACCAACACACCTGACATAACCATTATTGTAAAGAAAACGGCATGGATTATTGACATCACAATTCCTGGTGACAGCAGGATTAATGATAAAGAACAAGAAAAAATTACAAGCTACATAGACTTGAAAATTGAACTCCAAACATTGCAGCACAAACCAGCAGCAGTAGTACCAGTGATTATCGGCACACTGGGTGCCGTTCCCAAAAACCTGGGGCGGCACTCGATGCAAATCAACATCAAAGGACACTTGTGCAGTTTAGGGGGTACGGCTGTTTGAAAGGTTTTCTTCCATAAAATTAATCGATTCTTGACTAATTTGATTCAAAAATTTCCAAAACATGTATAATTTTCTGGGAATAATCCATATAAAATATGCTATAAACAAAGAATTGTAGGAATACTTAACAAGTGTGCACTGTTCGAAGATGCCATTGCTTAAGCTTGTTTTCGTCGCAGAGCGGGTCAGCAGACAGCTTGTCACGTGACTACTCATCTCTGATGTGTTTCCTGATAACATATTCTTTTTGAGAAGAATTTGCTGAACTTTGGAGACATCATGTGATAGATCATAATATACTATAGTATTTTTATTGTAATTAGAAACGACTTATTATTATTATTAACTATATGAAACAACAAAGGTAAAACCGCTCGCTAACGACAATAATTCTATCATGATATATAATCATGATATATAATATGATGATTAAATATTAATCAGATGCAACATAAGATGTGTAATATCTTGAAGTAAATAAATATTATACAATTTTTTTTATGACGTGAAAGAGATTAGGCCATTTAAAAGCTAAAAGCAGAGTGCAATTATTAGTTATTTATCACATTATCATACGTTATTATATGTTTATTTTAATCTATATTTAGAATGGAATGATGTTTTAATATTTCTATTAATGATGTCTCCAAAGGTCAGTGAATTTTTTGCAGAAAGAATAACTTATCAGAAAACACATCAGAGATGAGTAGTCACATGACCAAATAGCACCAACAAATGTCATGTGACAAGCTTCGTACGTGTCCGCCGTCCGACGAGTCGCTCCGCAATGAAAACAAGCTTAAGCAATGGCATCTTTGAACGGTGCTCACTCGGTAAGTATTCCTACAATTTTTTGTTTATAGCATATTTTATATCGATTATTCCCAAAAAATTATAGGTGTTTTGGAAATGTTAGAGTCAAATTAGTCTAGAATGAAAGAAAACCTTTCAAACAGCCATACCCCCTAAACTGCACAAGTGCCCATTGAAGTCCACAGATGTTAATTTTGTCAAACAGCTGCACTACTTGGGTCTGCAAACGTTCTGAACCATTACATTACGACATCCTAGACCTGATGCAAATGTTAGTCAACACCAACATATAATCTGTTTGTTGTGATTCATCTAATAGAAATAAATTAATAATAATAATAATAAAGTATTACTAATAAAAGTTCATTCAAACCTGTTGTAATAATCTTTTTATGCCATGAATATCCGAATCATCCGGTGTTATCGCTTCAAAATTAATTTCGATTTCCTAAAAACAGAAAAAACTCAAATATTAACCTATACAAAGCTATAATAAACAATTAAAAGTTTATATTTTCAAATTTGTACCGGTCATCATAATTAGTAATTGTGTAAGTCGATCCAAACAATTCTAATTTCGTAATAACTATGCAATCATCAATACGTCTCAATAATAATATGGCTTACTTTATTGATCATTTCATCTTCTGACATCTCTTCATCTTCATGAGTATCATCATCATCATCTTCTTCTTCCTCCTCTACTTGCATATTCTCTTTTTCTTCTTCTTCTCCTGCGATTTTTCTACTTTTAGCCATTTCTAAACACGAAGTAAAACAATATAAACTCTACCACGTGTCTTTACAACGCATATGTATAACGTGCTGCCAACTCAATTAAGATTGGTTAACATGAATAGCCCAAATATTGCCAAAGTTTTATTTTATAAGTCCTAAATTTGTTAGTACGGTATTCTTAAATTTGATATTAATCACATATATAAAATTTCATATTTTGATTTAAATAGAATACGCTGAAAAGCGCGATTCTATTTGTTTTACATTGAATATATTTAAAATTATTGTTTTAAACTTTTCGCTCTGTGGTCAATAAAGCGCGATTCACACTGAACGCGAAGGGCGCGAAACGTAATGAAGCGAAGAGAACCAACGAAGAAACGTGAGAGTATGTAACCTCGTGAAGCGAGTTAAAAATTTTCATGTCAACTAATGGGAGTACGCGACAGCTAGCGCTTACCACCGCTTGCAGTGGGAACGAAATTCGCTTCGCCCGCCTCGTTTTCTCTGTTCGCTTTCGTGTGCAGTGTAAATCGCCCTTAACTCGTAAAAGAACTTTATTTAGCAAGCTTTTTTGAGTTCGGCCAGACCCACAATGAAGCGGCCGAGTGGTGAGTGACCCAAGGCCCAACTCCAAAAAATTCCTGTCATTTTTCCGAATCTGTCCGATTCGGAATACCACAGAGCGCCAGTCTGCCACCCTAACCACTCGGCCTCTGCCCGTCCCGGATTAAAGGATAAAACACAATTTAAGTGGCTTACAAAGCGGGCTTTTTACTCCGAGTGCTGCTGCTACTAATGGTGCAAATGTAATAGTAAATAACAAACTGTATCATTAATGTCGTTAATGAAAAAGATCAAGAATCACGAATTGACGTCATCGAAGGCCGAACAGTTCGAAAAACCACAGAAATTTTTTGGAGATAGGCTACGTCTTTCACTACTTGGCCCGCACCATTGTCAGCCTGGCCGAATCCGTAATGGACTTACTATAAAGGCCTCTTAGTGCCACATTATAGAAGTTATTCGGGATTTATAAATTAACTAAAATCGTAAAAAGCTAGTTTGAAATAGGAAGAAAACTTTATATTCTATTACATTCTTATATACACAAAGGAAGTGTTACGTAGAAAGGACATGTTACTAAATACAAATACTGTACATATTTATTTAAATTAAAATGTGTTTGGTTTGTGAGCATAGATGTGAGTAATATAATGACGCTTTAACGTTATTATTTCTTTGTATTATGTCAGTCTATACGTTTTTACAAAAAATAAAATTATAGAAGAGAATTATAGAAGTTAATATAATTTTTTGATTTTTTCAAATTCTAATTTGATCATAATAATGTTAATTTAAAAGATCAAAAATTATTATATTTTTTGGGACATCATGAAGTGTTGACACTAGGCACTGGACTTTTTCGCATCCATTTTATTTTCTTATGTACTTTACAGTATTTAATTTAACTAATTGTTCTAATTGCCAATACGCGTTACGGGCTAGTGCCCTTCGTCTGTTGGCTGATACACGTTCTCTATAGTGATTTTTATTCTATTGTTGACGTACTGTATGGTATTGTACATAAAACCAAAGCACTGCCGTATACAGTAAACTAGTTGAAAATTAATAAAACTCGCTGTAATTCCTATTTAAAGAATTACTTGAGAGTTCCATTTTCTACACTGGATACAGTATAATACAATGTAATTCTAACAGAATTAAACTTACCACATGGCCGGATAGCCGAGTGATTAAGGTAACAGAGTACCTCTCTAGAAACTTGGGATAGAATACATATGCGACGAAAAATTCCAGAAATTTTTGGGGTGTGGTCCATCTGAATAGGTTGGGCCTCGTCTTTTATACCCAGCCGCCCCATTGTAGGCGTGGCCGAACACATAATGGCTTGTTAAAAGGGCCCTTTTAGTGCCCATAAAATCAAAATAATAATAAGGTTATTAAATATCTATTGATAGTAAGTCATTTTACAATAATGCTATTCTGTTGTATTTAAAAAACAAAGATTTAAATAAAAAGACGAAACATTAGAATGAATACAGTGACAAGACACGAAGACACTATATTGTCACTTTCTCCATTATAAATTAAATTGATTATTTTTAATATATATATATATATATATATATAATTAGTTTTGTAAATAATAAGAATAGGAAAATAAGAAACATTTTATATGATTAAATAAATATATGAAATTCCTAGTAATTTTTGATAATTATAAAAAGAAAAAACAAGTGACGTAAAGCCTTTGTGACGCAATGATACGGTTGTGAATTTGACGTCATTACTCTATAGTTGTAAACGTAATAGGAACTAATTATTTTATATCAGCTGATAGTTCTATCCGCTAGAAAATAACATTAACTTTTAAATTCTGAAAACTTATAATTATATCCGACAGAAAATATTTATTATTTTAGTTATACTCGAGACGATTTTTAATTTAAATTATGATATAGGTAAAAACTAGAATATGAAAGCAATTTAAGAAAAAATATCAATATGATCCATAAAAATCGAATTAATAATTTATATTAAATTACTTTTTAAAATAAATTATAATAAAGTATTTATTAAGATTAAATTATTTATATAAATTATAATTTCTAACAAGGGCACACCTGAAACTATTACCGAAAGTATCAATAACTTATACCAGAGATTACGCTATAAAATTTTACGCAATGGCACAGTTATAGGCACCATAGTATCTTCAACGTCATTCGCCTAGTGCCCCTCACAATTAGATACAGAAAAATAAACTTTTCCGATTATAGGCGATCGCACGATACGTTTAATAAAAATATACTGTATATGTGATCTCTATACTTCATACTGTGTAAACCCGACTCATACGCCATTGATGCTTGGATCATCTATATCCCGTTACTAAACAAATTATTTGATCCAGTAGAAAATTTAGCTTTCTTTAAGGTGGGAATTGCACAGAAAGGACCAAGCATATCATTGGCAAGATGAATTTTGCGATCCAATATTATAATTTGTGCATTTGGACCTTAAACATGAAACCCGTATCTTTTTAAGCCCTCCTAAAGAACCGTGGCCCCATTTCGTTACTAAAACGTGGAACGTGGAACGTCGAGCGCCGCTTAGCGGCGCTCGACGTTCGACGTTCCACGTTTTACGGATGGAAACTTCGGCCGCAACCTCTCTATTCAAAAGTACGCCATTTCTTATAGAATTACGTCACTTCTACGCGATTTAAAATTTCAAATATTTGAAAATAAACGTTTATCACCGTTCACTTTTTTGCTCGTTCTTTTAATTTAATCATTTATTTAAATTTAAATTCGCTATCAAGTTTTTGTATAAAGTAAAAAATAGGTTAAATATATCTTCTTCTGATTTATAGTAGGATTATATATTACAATAACGTAACTAGTATCTTCAGGCAACTGCCATGAGAAATATATATATATATATATATATAGGCTTATCGAATTGAAAATTTTGAATGTAATCATATAGGAAGCATAGAAGAATCCTGTTCAATCAATCAAATTGTTGACTTTTTTCATACCCTAGAGTCTTTTCCTCTTTCACATCCACCTCCGTATTAAGAAAAATAAAGAAAATATAAAAATTTTACCTTCTTAAGCTACATTTTTACATAAAAAAAGTCAAGTTCAAAGCCCTAAAAAATGATACAAAATTATTACTTTTAAGCCAATAATAATAATAGAATTTTGTTGAATGGTAAACAAAGAAAGGAAATTTAAAAAAAAAAAATAATTTAAAAATGAAAATTTAAATAATATATAAACTACAATAGTAATTTTACTTTTAATCCTTTGAACTAATCTTCAGTAATTTTAAATATATAAAAAGTTCTAGGATTAGAAATTTCACGTAGGTGGATATTTAAAAAAGAAAAATATTTTTAGTTTTTTTAATAGTAAAAATATGTTTTTTTAATCGTAGATTAATTAATAGGTTAATAACCTGTTAAAATGCTGTTAAATAAATAAAACAAAAATGTTTAAATTAGTTTTTTTTTAATATTTTTATATCTCACGAGATGGCAGCACTAACTTAAATTATTAAATATCAATTAAAACTAATCGATTAAATCTCAAAACTAAATAATTCTAATTTCGGAATAAAATTAAAGTTAAATAAGTTATAAATTATTAAATAATTTTTATTATTACAAAACTATAAATTTTTTAATATTTCAATTAATAACTTTAATTTTATTCAATAGATGGAAGCACAGTCTATATAAGCGCTTGTTTTAAATACATTTTAAAACATTTTTATTACTTATTTTACGTTAATAATATTTATAAAATAAATTAAAAAATTAATTATTAATTTATTTGCAGTAAAATATCGAAAGAAATATAATTAAATCCAGGTAAATGAAAATGCTAAATAATTAAAATTCATTAATAATTATAGAACGTTTGGTTTAATTATAAGCTTTTAATTATCCATCACATACATCTCAACAGATTTCTATGAAAGGGAGTTCAACGTACTCACCTTTATCTATTCGTTCTTTCACGGTGATGTAGATATATTTATTCTGGAGAGAAGCTAACAGATAATATATATATTTTTTTCTTTTGTTTAATCATCTTAAAATAATAATTTCTATTTGATTCTACTTTAATTTTCCCATGCAAAATTTTTAATTACATTTGCCAATACTTTGCAAGCTTTTGGATATCGAAAAAGCTGCGTAAGAGTGTTGCCAGTTGCTTTAATCTGTTTACACGGTTGCTAAGTTACTTATTTTCTCTAAGAAATGTTTTTACTTAACAGTAAATTGGATTTTCTAACCGAATTATATCAAATATATTTTACATATATTGAAAAATTTACGTTTATTTTCGTATATATATATATATATATATGTAAAAGCCTTGTATATAAATACAATATAATTCATATATATATAATAATGCTCGGGTTGGCAACACTTGCCGCTTTGTTCATCCACAAAAAAGCCACTCGTCATGTGGTCCCTTCCCGCGGTTAATTGCGTCAACGTCTTGTATCAAAAAAAGAAAAATCGATTTGCAATACATAAAATAGCCCTCCCCCTCCGTTTGATCGATTACAAATCGATAATTGTTAATAAATTACGTTACACGTTTTTTTTTTCTACGGTAATTTCGGGTGTTGTAGAAACTAGAACTAATCAGAAATTAATCGTAATTAATTTAATTTAGATTAAAAAAAATAATGTTTAAAGTGTTGGCACAAAATAAATTTAATTGCACTCACTACATTCGGACTAACCGCTCTCGCTCATGCGCTATAAGAGAGAGAGAGTGTTCGCTATGACGTCTTTCGAACGTCATCACGTGTCCCAAGTGTCACTAGACGTTATTTTGACGTCATCCACCAGCTGCAGATGTTAATCGTCCTGTGTTGACGTTGATATTAACTAGAAAATGTTCAAAATCAACAGTGAAACAAGTTGTTTCTACCTGTTATTTTTTAAAGAAATTATTTAAAATATAATAAAATTTAAAAAAAATTATCTCGTTATTTTAGTTAATGTTTTAACTTTATTGTCAAAATTTTGTAATTTTATAACAATTTTTATGAATTTCCTTTTAAACAGAAATGCTAGCTTTACCTTAAAGCTTTAGAGTAATGAGGTAAAGAATACATGTCAGGAGCTGATAGAACTGTTAATATATAGACATTTTTATGTTATTTATAGTGTTACGTTTTATAATTTAAATTAAATGATTAATTAATTATTTTAATTAATAACAGACAACTTCTACGTAAAGTAATTTTAACATTTAGGGTATTAAAATCAATGTTCGAGCGACGGTTCCTAGAACACATCATTTATATGAATGAATGTAGATAAAATTTGTACGTTTTTCATTAAATTTGAAACAAAATGTTTTATTAATCTAAAAAAAAGGGCATTAAAAAATATATTTTTTAATGAATTATATAAAAATTTAAACCGTTTTGTCAGTAATTAATCTGGAAAAATGTTCGTATTTAAATAATACATTAACGTAGATTTTTAATTAATTAAATGAATGTAGTAAGATTCCACGAACGAAACAATTCAATGAATGAAATTATTTTAAGTTAATGACGTAATAATGATACTCTCGCATCATTCATGTCTCGTGAGTTAATTCATATATCGCGCGCGCTATTCGTATGAATGAATGAGTGACGTCTTTTTTTTTTTTTTTACTACGCCTCTTAAAACATTTATTGGGGGTGTGAGCGTTTAAATTTATTTATTAAATGTAACTAATTTAATTCTTTGTCAATTATTTTACTCAAAACACTTCTTTTCTAACTTCTCCTGTTACTTTCATAGTGTTGTTACGAAACTTTTACTTCTGTTGTAGTAAAGGACATTATAGTTAGAAAGAACACTTATCGTCTATTAGAAGAACAAACTTTTACTAAAATAGTCGAATGTGTAGAGATGAGATACGGATGGGAAAGATGCTGTTACCATAACAACTTTTGCACCACTTCAAGGTCAATCAATATATTTCTCTACTACACACGAAGATGTAGTCATTGTAGAAGTTTTAAGTCTCCCCTCTCTCTATATATATACATATATATATATAGTTATAATAGTATGACCCAAATGTCAGTTAACCATTGTAAATGTTAAACTATTAAGATGTAAATTTATATACGCGAGTGTAGGTAGAATATACGAGGCACAACACGGTTAATCGACTTTTGGGCCGCAGTCTACACGTAAAATATAATAATAATAGTAATAACCGTTAGAAATTCCTCGTTTATTATATAATTCAAACTAATTTTATTAAATTGATAAACTCCTAGATATTTAATTAACCTTTTCGCAATTTAAATTGAAATCTTATTATTTGTCAGTTTAAAATCAATTTTATTTTGAAAATT